AACAGAGCATGCAAATGTTGAGAAGGTGTCGTATCGATGCGGGTTATCTACACGAGACGGGCAAGGCCACTGTAGGGGCTGTTCTGCTCGATGTGGATGGAGGATACGTCTCGGCCTACAGTGCACCACTACCAAATTGTTTCTCACCACTTATGGCCGAGGCGTTGGCATGCAATGAAGCTTTATCATGGTTAAAGGATCGAGGGGAACGGAATATCGAGGTATACACAGATTGCTTGACACTACAACGCTATCTTACTACACCATCCGCTGCGTTTCGTTCTTACGTTGGCTATGTCATTGACAGTTGCAGACAAACTGCCACTTTATTTCAGTCTTGCTCGTTTAATTTTATTTCTAGATTAGACAATTATTTAGCTCATGCACTAGCTACTACGGCTTATCAGCAACTTGCTGCTATGTACTGGGATATCCACCCACCAGACATTATTTCAGCCTTTTTCTAATGAAGCACCACATATATTTTTCAAAAAATTTAGAATTAGATGTTTATAATGCCTTTATTTAAAAAAAAATATTCATTATAAAAAAATTTAAAAAGAGATAATTTCATTAGTTATATTATCTTTTTGAAACCAGTTATATTATCTTTATCTTTTACAATTCAAAGATTCATTACCTTCAAATTTATTAATTTATTATATTCACTACATTGTCCATTGTCTTCTTTTTTACATTATCGTGTTGCTAACTATCAAAGTTATAATACAAAATATGTTATATATATTTATTTACCAAGTATTTTATACAAATATAATAAATATTAATATTTTGTTCAATACTTTTACATGATAACACACAACACACATCTCACAATGCATGAAACATATATGGAAAAACTACCACTTCCAAATATCAATAGGTCATTGTAAGATAAAGAGTTAATAGCACAACTAAGATCACATCATATACACAACAAGGCAAATCTAAAGCTTCACACACCATAATCTCATTGCACGATGAATCCATTTATGCTACCACTAGTAACTCAATTGCACTTTACACACTACCAAAAAAAAAAAAAAAAAAGAGGACATGCATGTACTGAAGATGAAGACAATGACAATACTACCCAAAAGAGAATTAAGAAAAATTAGAGAAATTTAAATCAAAAGTAGTATTTATTTAGACTATTGTTTTTAGACTAAGTATTTAAACTAGCGTTATTATAAAGTTGCAAACATTTATTTTAGTGACAATAGAATCAATCTCTCATATATTATCTTGCATTTATATACTTTAAATTACCGATTTAAATAAACAAATTCAATATTTATTTACCTATTTGCATAAACATCTCCGATATAATATTGCATTGATATACTTTGAAATACTTATTTAAAAATAATCATTGGGCATTGTTCCATTCGCGCAAAGCGTGTAAAATAACTAGTACATATTATACTAATAAGAGCCAATAAAATTAGGCGTATAATGGGTAGAAAAAAAGTCCATCAAATTATTAAATGAAATGAATGGTTCGAATTATTCATATTTTAATTTTTCATTGTAATTTCCAAATTTATTCTTAATTATTAACTTACTCATTGATTTCAATAAGAAATGTCTTAGGTTTGAATCTCATCTCAATCAAAATTTGCATAATTAAGTTATAAACTTTATTTTACCCATATTAACTTAAATAAAAATAAATTAGTAGTTACAACAAAAAATTATACATATGCATTTATTTAATTTAGAATTACGTGTCTACAATGCCTTTATTAAAAAATATATTAATTATCAATAAATTAAATAAGAGAAATAATTTCATTAGTTATATTGTTTTTATTTTCTCCAATGCAAAGATTCTTTACATTCAAATTCATCAATTCATATTCATTACATTCTCCATTATCTTCTTTTTTACACTATCTTGTAATTAAATATCAAAGTTATAATACAAAATAATATTATATATTTATTTACCAAGTATTTTATTAATACCATAAAAAAAAAAGTTTGAAGCAAATCATATTAACTACTTGGGGGATTTGTTGACAAAGAAAGTATTCAAATAAACCAACAAATTGAAGCGGAAAACTATCATGTAATATCTTTGGACTACATCATATTTAAAATATTCAAATTTTTACTACTTTATCTAATCTTATTCCTTAAACTAGAGATTTCTTTATCCACAATAACTCATTCAACAATAATGGTTGAACCAAATGTACCCCGAGCAGAACACATAAAGGACTAGTATGCTTTTATGTTGATAATAATATGTAAATGTTAATTATATCATTATCTTACGTAGCTATTTAAAACTCATTATTAAAAGTGTCAATTTAGGACAATAGAATATCGTAATATACTTGATGCATTGAAATGATTTCAAGACTACAACAATCTTACAATCAATTTGGCAAACCTAGAAAATGAAGAAATTTCAAAATAGCCACCATTGATTCATTCATTTATCTCGTATGTAAAATACTTATTATGCATTAATTAAAAGGGAATAAGGGTCAAATAGGTCATCGAACTGCACACGATAATGTAATTAGGCCACTGAACCTAAAAAATCAACAATTGGGTCCCTAAATTAACCAATTTCAAACAATTCTTCCAATTTGTAGGTTTCTAACAGGTTAACAGGTCATCCTCCCAAATTAATTATTTTTTAAAAAATAAAATTTATGGGTCTCTAAACTAACAAATTTCAAACAATTCTTTCAATTTGTAGATTTCCAACAGGTTAACAGGTCATCCTCCCAAATTATTTTTTTTAAATAAAATTTTAAAATTAATTATTTAAATAATTAAAAAAAAAAAAAACAGAATCCGGCCGGAGACGAAGAAACCGGCCTTCTTCGTCCCCGGCCGGTTTCTTCGTCTCCACGGCTGGAGACGCCGGCCATGGAGACGAAGAGTTTCTTCTTCTCCATGGCTGGAGACGAAGAAACTCTTCGTCTCCAACCAGAATCTGTTTTTAAATTTTTTTAAATTTTTATTTGAATAATTAATTTTTAAATTTTATTTTTTAAAAAATAATTAATTTGGATGATTACATGTTGGAAACCTTCAAATTGGAAGAATTGTTAGGAATTGGTTAGTTTAGGGACTCAATTGTTGGTTTTTTGGGTTCAGTGGCCTAATTGTATTATCATGTGCAGTTCGATGGCCTATTTGACCCTTATCCCTAATTAAATATATTAGAACTAATATAAATTTACAATTCATTTAATCTTCTGGACTCAACTTGCTTAGATTACAGGCAAAATCAACATCAACCTTCACCAAAAAAAAAAAAAAAAAAAAAAAAAAAAAAAAAAAAAAAAAAAAAAAAAAAACTTGGTATATGAGATGTAGTCACTATTTAAAAAAAAAAATTATACACAAATTGAAAAACAATTTAACACGAAGGTTAATATCAATTCAATAAAAAAAAATTAAAAAAACACACACAAAATCAAGTATTACACCAATTCTTACTAATTCTAAAAATATGAACTTGAAAATGAACCAATACAAAATGGATGTGGAAATTATTGATGAAAATGGACACGTTGCAACATCAATATTCGGACTACCTGTAGAGTTATTGTTGTTACTATCAAGTAAACAAGTTATGAAAATAGAACAAGAGGTACTACTCTTGAACCTTATACAAATATAATAAATATTAATATTTTATTCAATACTTTCACAAGAAACACATAAAGGAACAAATTAAACTACCACTACAAAATATCAACCGACGCTTGCAAGATCAAGAGTTCATAGTACAACTAAGATCACAATCATATACACAACAAGGAAAATCCACACCGTCCTACACCATAATCTCGTTGCATGACGATGTCATCTGTGCTACCAACAATAACCCAATTGCAAATAACACACTACCAACAAAAAGGAAGACAACAAATAGTGAAGATGAAAACAATGTCAATGCTACTCAAAAGAGAATTAAGAATACTTAGAAAATTTTAAACAAAAAGTAGTATTTATTTAGAGTTTTAGACTATTGTTTTTAAACCAAGTATTTAGATTATCAATTTTACAAAGTTGCAAACATTTATTTTAGTGATAATTATAATGAATTTCCTATATTATCTTTCATTCATATACTTTGAGTTACATATTTAAATTAACAAATTCGACATTCAATTACCTATGTATTAACTTCTCCTATATAATCTTGCATTGATATGCTTTTAAATATTTATTTAAATATAAACATGGGATATTAACATATTCGCACAATGTACGTATAGAACTAGTATATATATATATATATATATATATATATATATATATATATATATATATATATATATATATATATATAAAGAGTGATTCTGGTACGAAAAATGCCACAGGTGAAATATACGGATAAATCTCACCCACGCAGATATAAAATTTTTTTCCCATCCAAATCGTGTGAATATTTTAATGCCTATTAAAGCATAGATACCGAAACTTATCAAATGCGAGTGAAATTATCATCCCTAGCGAGAGTGACACTCATCTACCCGTTATCTTTCTTGGTGAGAAAAAATATAACTTTCCTTCCCCATTTGCCTTTATTTTTTTATTTTTTTAAAATAGTAATAATAAGATCATAATAATTTGTTTTATTTTTAATCTCATGAGCATAATAGTATTCTTCGGCTGAACCCCAACCCTAGTATAATAGTATTCTTATTTCTATTGTTTGCATTCATAATTTATACTTCTAATATTTAATCTATTCAAATATTTTAATTCAAAAACATAAAATTTGATCATTTTAACCAATGAATGAAAACATTTTAAATTTAAAAATTGAGCATAAATTGAAAGTATAAATGATGGATCAAAACTCAAGTAAAAACTATCCTTCATCAAGAGTTAAACACAAAGCATGGCAATTGACAAATAGAGAAGTGAAAATTTAAAGGAGAAATGTTTCAAAAAAAATAATTTAAAGGATAAACAAAAATAGTAAACGAAAAGCTGACAGATAACCAAAAGGAAAATGCTAACCAAAATTAACAACATTAATTAAACAACCTTTCTCTCTCTTTCTTCTTCTTCTTCTTCTTCTATCAATATCAGATTCTCTCTCCTGTTCTTCTCTCTCTAATGCTTGTGGTGCCATCTCGGCTGCAAACAATCAAGCCCAGCCGCTGGTGATCGCTGTGTTGTCGATCTCCTCAAGATTCTGATTTCATAGGTACGCTTCTCATTTCTTCAACTTCATCAATTTATTTTTCTTCTTTTTGTAAAGAAATATGAGCTTTTCCTTTTTTTTTTTTTTTTTTTTTTGGTGATTCCGATATTTATAATTTTTCTTTTGATTTTACATGGATCATCTTCCAATATGGATCTGTAAGGATCGTTGCGTAAATGTATTTCTAAGCTTGTTTTAAAGGAGGTTTTATTTTTATTATTATTTTTTTCAAGAACCAGATTTTACTCTTTTATGGTCTTTTTCCTAATTTGGAACCTTGAATTCGATATGGTAGATTAATGGCTATATCTCTTTTGACTACTGTAATTATGTTCGTATAATTATTTCTCCATTTATGAATAAGAATTTATAAACAATTGTAGAAGTTCTGCTAAATATTTTCTAATTTTTATGTTTCCTCGGCGTGAAAGACATTTTAACAGTGTTTATATAAGACTAAGTGTAAAATGTGAGACTGGAGAGGCTGGAGAGCAAGGCTAGGAGCTTTTTACTTTAAAGTTTAACCTGTTCATATACAAGATCTATTATATTCAAGACCAGGGACAAAAGTGTTCTCTGCATCTTTGTACCCAAATGAATAAATGATTGGCCTACAAAGGCTTCAATTTAGAGAACTTATAATGGAGTTATAATAGCAGCAGCACCTTTGTCCATCTAACTCACCTTTTCATCTTGTCTTTTCCATTATCTTTAGGCCTAAAATTTGCATCATATGATAATACTGGAATATACTTTGCATCCTTGAGCCTTGAGGGTTTTAAATTTATTTATTATTATTACTTATTTTGCCTTTAATATGTGAGCAACTGCTCGGTGATGGTATAGTTACTGTCTTACTATGGCATATGAGAGGATGCTAGCAAAATGTCTTCACCATTGGTTTGTGTGGAGTTTCTGAATTTCAAGGCACTGAACTGTATAGATTAATTGAGCTCAAAGAAACTCCCACTTTGTTCTGGACATCTTGTCTTATTGACAAATCATCGAATCTAGAAATCCTATAGGCCCTATATATATGTGTGTGTGTGTATTAAATTTTTTTTAGTGGAGTGTGACTGATGAACCAATCTTACAACAACCAAATTGTTCTCCCATTTCCTACTTAGAATTTTGTATCTTTTCAGAACTCTTCCAATCCTTTTCTGTTTAGACAACTCCACTGTATGAGGAAACCACTGGTTTTGGTTGTTCATCGCCACTTTCCACATCATACTTAGCATTGTGCTCCTCTCAGATAAACGAACCTCCACAGCCACTGCTATGTAGCCTAGTTTTATGTCTCTTCAAGTTCTTTAGCCTTGACCCTTGCTCCTTCACTGACTTTTTACTCTTTCATTTATGAATATAAATAAATGTGAGTTAATTTGTCCTTTCCTTGTTTTGGGGTGCATTCCAATTTTTCTGGATGGGCCTTTATTTATATATTATTGGTAATGTTGATTGATGCCTTTGTTACTCTGAGATAAGGTGCATTGACCTTTTTCTTGTAGAGACAAGTATAAATGTTTTTTTTTTTTTTTTTGGGCATAAAATGTTTAGGTAAATACAGATGCCATTAATTGTTACTAAGTTAGGGGGGTTGCCACCCATAAAAGGGTTGCACAGGTCATTTATTGCAGATATATGTAATACTAATAGATCAATGAACAGGATGCTTTTAGATAACGTTTAGTATCTAAGTAGATTTTGGTGTTGATGTTTGCAGATAAATGACTTGTTGAGGTGATATAGTAAGAAAGTTCCTAATAAATGGCATCAGTGGGTGTACCACCTGCTTCTGGTATGAGAGAATCCAGTGGTCACACTGTTGGTGTTGATAGTTTGCCTGAGGAGATGAATGACATGAAAATCAGGGATGATAAGGTCTGCTCATGCCATCTTTTTTTTTTTTTTTTGTTCTTGTGATTATTATTCTCCATATATTACCCCTTGTTGCTTTAATAATTTTTTTTTTGTTTATAGGATATGGAAGCAGCAGTTGTTGATGGTAATGGGACTGAGGCAGGTCACATAATAGTGACAACTATTGGTGGTCAAAATGGTCAACCAAAACAGGTAAGTTTGTTAGTCTCTTTTTGTATCTGATTGCTTGTTAAAAAGCTCATGGTTTTGTTAAATAAAGCAGTACTCCTATTATATGAGGCTAAAGTAAAAACTATAAGTATGGTTTTTGATTGTGATGGATTTAGTAACTTAAAATATTCATATGTGATGTATACAATGCTCATAGCCTTCTCTCCTTTGGAAGGTAAAAAAACATGTAGGATAAAATAGAATTAAAATATCTCTATGTGATTGTGCTCATTCAAGTCTAATCATTAGTTCTATTTATGTCAAGATTATTACTTGTATCATGTGATGCTTTAACTGCTTTATATGTATGTACTTGTCCGATGGTGTAATGAAGGTTGCCAGACATGGGGGCTTCTTTTATTGTATGAGAGTTCTAGTTTTGAGAAATGGCCTCTTCCTTTATTGGCATGGTACTTCATATTTTCCTCTGGGTCCTCTACTTGCAGACTATAAGTTACATGGCTGAACGAATTGTTGGGCATGGATCATTTGGTGTAGTATTTCAGGTATGATTATGTTATCTTTATGTTAACCACTGCATGCCTGTGGACTGTCTTTCTTGACACCCTTTCCCTGCCTCCCCTTTAAGAGCAATCTTCTGTGATTTCATATGATGCTCTCTTGTACTAATCAGGCTAAATGCTTAGAAACTGGTGAAACTGTTGCTATAAAGAAAGTTCTTCAAGACAAAAGATACAAGAACCGGGAATTACAGACCATGCGTCTTCTTGACCACCCAAATGTAGTGTCATTGAAGCACTGCTTCTTTTCTACAACTGATAAGGATGAACTGTATCTTAATCTGGTTCTTGAATATGTACCTGAAACTGTACACCGTGTTCTCAAGCACTACAATAAGTTGAGCCAAAGGATGCCATTGATATTGGTGAAGCTTTACACATATCAGGTATTGTGGTTGTACTTGCTAGTTGCTACATCTACTTTATATGTTCTCTTTATCTATGCCATTGTCTGTCTTTATCTCTAGCCCTGACTTTTTGCATAGTGAAGTGTTTGTAACTTCATAGCAAATGTTTAAATTGTTAAGCATTTAGGGATGGTTAGAAAGGCTTGGTGATGGAAGTTGACAGATAGGAGATTGTGATGTTCATGATTAGGGATTCAACTGTACGTGGGTAGTAGAACACAACTTGGGGCTAGTGGGACATGGGATGTTTGAAAGTTGAAACTTTGTTTTTTTTTTTATTTCTGTTTTTGTTTAAATGTTAAAAGTCATGACAGATGAAGGGTGGATGAATCGCTATTTTATTTTTACTGAGTCGAATGCCAGTCCAGTTATAAGACCCCTTTTTATTCATATTTGGTTTTTGAATAAAAAATTAGTTACTCAATCACTCAATACCTTGGTGTTTAAGCACTTGATATAATACTGAATTGCTTGAGGTTCTTGAGATCATTATATCATAACTGTATAACAGCTGTTAATATATGACAGATTTTCAGGGCATTGTCTTATATCCATCGCAGTATTGGAGTGTGCCACAGGGATATCAAACCTCAAAATCTTTTGGTATATTCACATGGCTTTATCTTCTTCTTTTTGCTTTTTTAATTGTGCAATCTTTACTTTTCTTGTAGTTTGGTTGTATGCATTCTAATTTCTGAGCTTTGTTATAATTTATGGATAAGAAACTATGAAAAATTATAGCACTCTTTACTGACAGTTTGTGAAAGCACAAAGGTTTAATTGTATTATTGTATATAAAAGATTTACAGAAGTTCCTCTATTTATATATACAGTTATACACGAGTTATGATTTGGGCTAAGCCTTATTGCTATAACTCGTGTTACTTGCCTATATTCAACTTATTTCAACACAGTACATGATATTCTTCTCAGTATGTAAACATTGTCTCATCTTGTGATATGAGCATTGTTTTGAATTGTTTCTTTCCTTATGGCATCTTTCTCGTGTTACTTGCCTATACTTTGCAAGTTTACAGCCAATTTATTAATTACCTTTTGCAGGTGAATCCACATACTCATCAAGTTAAGTTATGTGATTTTGGAAGTGCGAAAGTTCTGGTATGCCCCTGACCCTGTACTTACAAAAGCCGTAAAAAATAAGAAGAGGATAAAAAACTGAGCCTAATTTGCATCTCATTTTGATGTATGAACAACTCCTTTTCTTTCTTTTCTGAACTTAGGTTAAAGGGGAGCCCAATATTTCTTACATCTGCTCTAGGTATTATAGAGCTCCAGAGCTTATTTTTGGAGCGACAGAGTACACTACCGCCATTGATGTCTGGTCTGCAGGTTGTGTCCTTGCTGAACTGCTTCTAGGACAGGTGGAGTTAATTTCTACCGGTACATTATAACTGCTTGTATTAGTTAGGACTTGTATCTTATAGTCTGCTTTTTTGTATGAAGACACTATTTCCTGGTGAAAGTGGAGTTGACCAGCTTGTAGAGATCATTAAGGTATTATCCACTTTCCTTCATGTGAACGATCTCTCACTTCCTATCCTATTCGTATTTCTTTCCAGTCAAGTCAATCTACCTACCCAAAAGAAAGAAAAAAAAAAAAAAAAAACAAGATTTTAAGTAAAAATCTATTATTTACCTGTTTAGAGTCCCACATTGATAAAATAAGAGAGAACATATGGGTTAGACTAGCTAATTGATTTGATTCAGTCTTTTAGTGTGGTTTGGCCCATGTGCATTATAGCCGAGCCTGTTTGGTCCACTTTGTATTCACCCAGTTGTTTTTATTAATGCTAAAGGTGCACTGGGACTAGTACTTCTTCACTTCTAAGATAATACTGGTATCAAGTGAAAATCCGTGTTCCTTTCATTCAAGCCGTCCTCTCCCATTAAATGCAGCCTTCATCTTCTTTGCTTTTTAGTAACATTGGAGGATTTGGATTTATAATTTGTTAGAAAACTTAAAAACTTTGGATGTAGGATAGTAGGAATTGCTTTCCAAAGTATTTCTAGAATTACTGCAAATGCATCCTCCAAAATTTTGGAGTCTTTCTATTGTGAGATTCTATAGCTTGTGGAACACCGAGTTGAAGTCCATGAATAATTATTTTAGCTGATAATTTTTAGTAATTACTGATTAAAATACAAGATTAAGACATATCAAACTTGATCCATTCAGATGCAGTCTGATTAGAATATCATAGTTTTGAGTTCATGGCTTTGGATTTGAATTCTGCTTCCAAGTGCATATCCACATATTTTGCAGGTCTTGGGTACTCCTACCAGGGAAGAAATTAAATGCATGAATCCAAACTATACAGAGTTCAAATTCCCGCAAATTAAAGCTCATCCATGGCACAAGGTACATGCAATCCAAACCATTCATCCTCCTCCTGTTTCGGTCATACTTTAAGAAGTTATAGCACGTGATTGCATACCCCATGTTTGGTTTTCAGATATTTCATAAGCGTATGCCACCAGAAGCAGTTGACCTGGTTTCTAGGCTTCTGCAGTACTCTCCAAATTTACGCTGCTCTGCTGTAAGTACACTAATATTTCCCGAGGTACTTCCATACTAGTTCGCACTAATAACTGTATTATTTCGATTTTTGAATACAGTTGGATGCCTTGACCCATCCTTTCTTCGATGAGCTACGTGACCCCAGCATTCGCCTCCCAAATGGACGCTTTGTTCCACCGCTGTTCAACTTTAAGCCACACGGTATGGCATTACCTGACCCGAGGTTTTTTACTCATGCTTTCCTATGTGAAATCCAGTTTATTGAACTATATCCATGCTCGATTGTTATTCTCAGAGTTGAAGGGTGTGCCAACGGAAACCATAATGAAATTGGTTCCTGAGCACGCGAGAAAACAATGCCCCTTCCTGGGATTGTGATTCCTGAAGAGCACGACAGATAAATGATGAATCAAGCGTTCCTTTCGAAGCTCTTTTTCTCCTGTCTGTAACCATTATTTTCGTATGTATCTTTGTATTGCCTTGTCTCGAAAAAGCGCAGATGTAAGGAAATGCGTTCAACAATCGCCTCGGCTTCAACTTGTGGTGTACCATGTATCCTGTCTTTGTATGACCTGTAGTTGTAACATCATGTGGTTTAAGGAATTTGAATGTACTGTTGAGATTGAATGTCAAATGGTTGGAATTCTGAAACAAGATTTTTCATTTTGGTAAATTTGATGATAGGGGGACCACTTGGGTTCATACTCAAATTTACTACCCTGAAAGGATGTAATTTATGCTAGTAGGAAATTAACACTATGTCGATTGGTATCATAAAAATTACGAAAAATAGTATATTTTGTTCTCTAGTTATACTCGTGGTACAGACTTACTTTCTATTATAGCAGGCAATTTTAAGCCCGAACTTTCATACATGAGGGGATTTGAAGTCAGTCTTAGGCAGTGAGAGTGTACGACCAATAACGCCAACTAAGTTGGTTATATGTATGATCATTTTTAACGTTTAAGTTATGCACAAAGTGATGAATTTAATCTCTGATGGACAGATTGATCAAATCTACCACTTTATTAAATAACATATTGGTGGCAGAAATAGTTTCCGAGAGATTAAAATTGTCACTCTGCACATAATTTAGTGATTGAAAATGACTACGCATATAGCTCAGTTTGTACTACGAGTATAACTGAATGACCAAAAATATAATTTTTCCCAAAGTTTTCCTATAATTGAATTACACCCTAAAATCTACTCTGCTCAACAGTAAGATACAGTCATCATTAATTACAAATGACTTTTTCCATTCATTTAAAACTGTTCATCCAAACCAACCTTAATACAAACACCCAACAACAAAAGGAGAAATGCACTTCCACACTGGATATAACTTAGAAGACACAAACCACTGCAGAGAAACTAGGATACTAAGGCAAGTACCTCTAACAAATAGGCAGCAAACTGCATTTGGGTCTCCTCATCTATTGTTGTGAAGAGAGGGACATGTACAAATAGTGATTTTATTCCATACTGCTCCGCAAAGCGCAACGAATGATAGTAAACATAGTTGCATACAAACCGGCCTGCATCGTTGGAGGTCGTCACTTCATAGCCCGTCATTGCCAATGCTTTGGTGATCTCCTCGACAGGAAAAGAAGTCTAGATAGATAGTGTAAAAGAAATTCAAAGATGAGAAATGAGTTTAAGGAGGACCAATGAGGTTCCTAGTAAGAAAATTTACCTTAGGTGAATCATTAGTGCTAATAGAAGTGAGAAGAAATTAGAAGTTCACCTATGCTTCTCATACTAGAAAAATAGAAAAGTTACTTTGTACTCCCTCTGTCCCATTTTATGTGTCTGGTTCGGTTAACGAGGCTTGAAGTTATTTTTAATTTAATTTTTCATAATATTAAGTTCAGTATTAGTATACAAAATTTATATATTTAGAAACTACATTAAAAGTACTATTAAACATAAAAAATAAAACTTGAAAATAAGTAAAAATACTAAAGAAAATAAACAAAGAAGAAAGAGTTGGTTAGATCAATGAATAGTAAGTAGGACAGATAAAATGGGACAGGGGGAGTATCAATTAAAACTCAAAAACTCTATATTTTAGAACATAATAGAACTAAACAAACAGGAATGGTATGCTATTTGTATGTCTCCTTTTTTTCCCGAGGTTCTCTCTCTCATTGCACCGAGAAACAAAAAATCTCTAAGGCATTTCAAAGTGACAACTGTTTGTGCAATCATTATATCATGGACCATGGTCCACCTGGTAAGGCGGACACTGACATAAGGTACATTTTTAATACACTAAATGTTCATTTTTTGAAGGTACATTATTTGTGTACTGGTACTACCAAATAATGAACCTTCAGTACACAAATAATGCACCTTTAGTATATCAAAAATGAACATTTATTCATGGTCCACATATAATTTGCCCAGTTTGTGAGGAAAAGAAAGGTCAGGTCATTGGGTTGAAGTAAACAGACCCTAAAAATTAAATTCTATTGACTAAACACTCAAATAGAATACCTAAAAAGTGTTGAATTACATGAGAGTATCTGCATCAATAAATATTCAGCCTAACAGCTCTATTTCATATTGGCAAATTACCCCTTCGATGCAGGGCCGGTCCTATCATTTTATAGGCCCGGGGCTAGCAACAAAACTGGGCCCTACATAAAATTAATATACATTTTTATAACTAAAATTAAACTAAATAAGGAAGGGTCACAAAATAAGTCGTATTTTTTTGTGGTCCAGTTCTTATAAATAAATGAGCCCCCAAAAGTGTAAGCGCAATCTTTAAAACCAATATTGTAAAATATAAGATTAAAAAGTTTTTAATTGTTATTTTGCATACACATGAAAATAATTCTATATGTTTTCCTAAATCCAAAATAATCAATAATTGCATCAGTGCCTTCATAAATAAACAATTATAGTTTATAAAAATAAATAAACAATTTTAAACCAAATAAGCTTATACGCAATCGCATTTTAATAATAATAATAATAATAATAATAATAATAATAATAAAAAAGTAATTATTATTAAAAATTTATAAAACAAAATTTATAAACAAGAGCAGAGCATGAAATCTTAATTATTGAGAACAATAAATCAGAACACTTTAAATGTGACAAAAGATATTCATAATAAAATATGAAACATAATTAATTTGATAAAATAGTTTAAATAGAAAACACATTATAAATCATATATATTCTATATTCGTATTATATTTATAATAATTAGATTAATTTCAAGTTTTTCTAGATTAATTTAAAGACGATGACACACAATAGAACTTCTAAACAACATTAACTAGATAATTCATAAAAGTAAACTATCTTTTAAAATATTTTTCATAACTAATCACAAAATATATTACATGTACATTACTTATTATAAAGTTCACAAAATAACATGTGTTCTAAATATAAGTTGTAAATTAGTCGAATAGAAATTGATTCAAAATTTGATATAAACCACAAATCAATCTATATTATAAATCTCACTATCATTATAGAAAATTAAAAAAAAAATAAAATTAAAATTAAAATTAAAAAAAAATCACAAAGTTACAAATTTAATAAAAAAATACAAATTAAAAGTAGAAATAAATTTCCTAAGTTATAATTTCAATACAAGATAATAATAAATCTAAATTCATCTTTTAAATAATAGAGAGTGATTATTTAATATAAATGTACGTATAAGGGTTCTAAATTCATCTTCTAAATAGTAAAGACTGAAAATTTAATATAAATTTTGAACATCCAAGGGTTCGACCCCACGACCTTACAACAAAATCAAGGAACCTTACCAGTTAGGCTAACTAACACTTTAGTATAATTAATGTATATTAAATGTCTATAATAACAGTATAGTATTAATAAAACATAATTGGGGGGCCCCTTCCAAGCGTGGGCCCTGGGCAAGGGCCCAGCCTGCCCTTGCCCAGGGCCGGGCCTGCTTCGATGCCAAGCTTTTTCTACCAGTTTTGAATGTATATTCAATAGTTACTCTTGTTTTCTAAATGACCTGTCAACTATTCACAAAAACTAAGACCAATTAATTTCAGGTATTTTTTAAAAAACCAATGGTAATTCAATTGAAAATTGTTGATAATAGGTAGTTACCAAACTGTGATTAGTAGCAGATAAATTTGCACATGAACTAAAATAGGACGGGAAAAAAAATAGTCATTCACCTCTCTTATTCGTGAAATTGCACCATCCATGGGAACTATGGGAATTTTCTGCAAATAAAAAGATACATTTAGATTAAATCTTAAGACATGAAGAAGTAGGACCTCGGCCTGGAATTTCCAACATTTTATACTGACCTGTGGCTTCCATCCCATCTCATCTGCACATCGGAAGGTAGCTTCGTTGACAGCTTGGCGCTCTATGGCAAACTTTGTGGCCCCACTATTAACTCCAAAGTGCAACTGGAAATAGATCAATATATGTTAATACCTCGATAAATGAGAAAAATTATGGGTTGAATATAGAAATCTACCTAAGATCACATAGGACTACATTTCTTTCTACGGGATAGATTCTTAAATCAGCTACGGTTGTTGATAAGTAGACTAAGGGGTGTTTGGTAAATGACTGTTAGTTGATTGGGTTAGTGGGTTTTATTAGTTGATAGCATTAGCTGATTGTAGAAAAGTGTTTGGTAAATTATCTGTTAGCTGATTACATACAAAATGACTTTCTCAAAAAGGTGATCGAAAAAGGTACTTTGAGCAGCTTTTTGAATTTTAGCATTTTGAAGCAATAAGTTGTTACAAAAAGCTAATTAATCAAACACTCATATTGATTGTTTAACCAAGTCAAACAACTAATAGTGGTCAAATAAGCCAAAATTGACTGATAAGCTTGGATGATTATTATCCATTAACCCTATTGATGTTTTCACACCTACCAGCCAACTAACAGTTTTTTGGTAACTAAAAGTTTTTGTTTCTTAAAAAAGAGAAATCAATAGAAAGGAAAAGAGGACAAAGAAAGCAACAGATTTACCCAAATAACTCTCCTGGAATGTGACGACTCAGATTCATCATTTCTCAGAGCAGACTGTAATGTCTGATATAGAGGAACCAGTGCTCCCTGGCCCGCAGTCTCAAGAACACTGCAACTCCCGAGGATAAGCCCTTTGGGAGTACCCTTTTTCTTCATATAATCTTGAAGATTACTTACAATTATTTCGGTTGGATTCTCCGCCACTCCATGAAATTTCTTAAAACCAGTAATATGGATAGTTACAGGAGACGGCCCTTCAGACCCCATCTATTACCAGTCACAGGGTAATTCACCAAAGCCAAAGCATCAAATGCAAGAACTGTCTGAATACATAACACAGAAAATCGATCAAAATTCTAAGCAAGTTTTTTGCAAGAATGAAAATCATCAACTCCTCTTACATCTATCATGAATTCGTTACAAAAACCATCCTCAAAAACATTTCCCTCTATGCCAACTATCACTATGTATATGATATTATGCCACTACACAAAATTTTCATTAGTTCTGATATACATACTAGAGAATAGAATAACTTCTGTGCAGAATCAATTGCATGAGATCAAAGATTTGAGCATAGCAAACACACAACCTAAAGTGCAATATGGTAGATTTAGGAGAGCAGAAAACCCTTTCTTAGAACAATAATAAGATCAATCAAGAACTCAGATAAGCAATTACAAGTTAAAACCCCAGAATATTCCTCCTAAAATCGAACAAAGATCACCATTAGAACAGCTCAAACCCTTTAATTATGACTGCTTAACAAACCAAAAACTCCAACAAACGCAAAGGCATCAGAGAATCAAAAACCAAAATGGAAGATACGAATAGAATAAAAACAACTGATAGTTCACGCGACCCAGAAATATACCTTAAAGATACGATCTTTTTTTACAACTGAACACAGCCCGAAGGCATCAGAATCGAGAAATAACAAGAAAGATTAGAGTTTGAATAGTATACTAGTAGTTTTGCTTACCTCAAAGCTTCAAGAAAGCGACAATGAAGAATGACTCAGCCACCAGTGTTATCTACAAAAATTGATCAAAGTCTGTGGACTAAGACGCTGATTTGAGTGTCCTTGTAGATGAGATTAGAAGGAAAAAGAAAATTCGGATAAGTAGACAGCAAAGACAGGCAGTGCTATGTCGTTTTCTAAAGGGAAAAGATATTAAAGAGCATTCTTTGTATACATGGAAATTCGTTTTCTAAGGGGGGAAATATATTAAAGAGCATTCTTTGCGTATGATGTTGGTGGATTTAATTACCTTACAGAAATCTTCTTGATATTTTTATATATATCATTGTAGATGATAGTATAGGTCCCTAAGAAGGTACCAGGACTATGTGGTCCAATGGTACTCGGGTTGGATTTCCATTAGGAAGGTTGTGAGTTTAAGCCTCAATGAATGCGTAATTAGCTACTAGCTCGTCCCTAAGAAGGTGAGAACTATCTGGACAAATTCAAACCACTAATCTAATAAATCTAATGGTTCAAAATAAATAAAATTTTGTAATATTTATATTAAAAAATCCTACTCATTTTAAAATTTTATAATATTTATGAAAAGGGAAAATTGTAAAAAATGCCCCTCCATAATATGTCAATTATCAATGTCACCTCTGAATTATGAGTGGTGTAAATGTTGCCCCTCAATTATCAAAACAGTGCACATATAGCCCCTCCCGTAACGGACATGTGGTTTCCCGTTAGTGTACGACACCATTAAGTCGGAGTAAATATGTAATTTAGTTGTTTTTTCCCTCCCTCGATTCAAAGTACCAGTGATGGACAGCGGTGAGGAACCACATATCCGTTACGGGAGGGGTTATATGCGCACCATTTTGATAATTGAGGGGCAACATTTACATCACTCATAATTCAGGGGTGACATTAATAATTGGCATATTATAGAGGGGCATTTTTTACAATTTTCCCTTTATGAAAATGACACCGTTCATTTTTTAATAAAATTTATCTCTCCTTTTATATTTTTATTTCTCTATTATTATTGCCTTCCTCGTTTTACTTTATTATATTTACATCGCACTCCGGAATCATAATGGTACAATAGTTCATAATTCACAACACGTTATCCGTAGGAATGCTCAACATCTTTACGGGGCGTCGGTTGGAGGGAGGGAATTACGTGGGAAATTAAAGGAATTGCAATTACATGAAAGATGAATTACTGGAAATAAAGTGAGAATTTAAATTCCAGTATTTGATTTACAGGAATAAAATTACTGGGAATTTCAATTCCAATGTTTGGTATACTTGGGAATTGAAAGGGAATAAGTAGTATGAAGTCCAAAATATCCATTGTTGTTGTCAGACATCAATTTTAGGTTAAAAAATAGGAGGGTAATTTTGTCTCATCATTATCTTTTTTTTTTCTTTCTAAAATCCATAGAATTAAAATTCCAAAAGAGGCATAGAATTTTAATTCCATGAAAATGAGGGAATTTTACTTCAAACCAAACTAAGAAATTTAGTGGTCTTTAAAATTAGGTGAGAATTAAGTGAGAATGAAATTTAAATTTCCTCCAATCAAACACCTATTATTTCTTATACTCATATTTTAATCCATAGATTAGACAAAGATCTCTATAGATACACTAACGTGCAATATTATCACTATTTGAAGATACAAATTTAAAAATAAAAAATAAAAAATCAATTCATATGCATGTATGTTATATTCCCGCATGTAGAAAAATCCAACATAATGATAATTGAGCACCCAATAATAAATTGAGTAAAAAATCTCTTTCATAAGCATGTAGAAAAATCCATTCATTCACTATTTGAGGATAATTATATTTGTATTTTTTTTGTTAAATCCATGTACAATTATTATTATAATTATATGTATATTATATGTATATGTGTGTAAATAATCATATTATATCGTTATAATTAAAGTGTTTAATGTAGATAATGATATAATGATTTTGAAAAATGGTTTTTCAATATTTTAAAATTTTTTAAACAAAATCTGGACCTCACAACTCTAAATTTGTTTATAGTGTGATTATAAAATTGCAAGACATAATTTTAATTTTTGAGATATTACTATTTATTTTGTTTTACAAATGTGTTTGTCGAGCATGATGCGTGATTATAGCCCTTTGATCATATGTTTATTTACATTTGTTGTAAAGTTTTAAATACAACATGCATGTTGTGCTCATCTCACTCCCCTTGAATGTAACTCGAGGTTTCTTTTAGAAAAATTGTAATCTTTTGATTAGTTTTATTGACTGATGTGGTCAACTCTAGAGACTGGCTTGTGGAGGCCATTACAAAAGAATAAGGAAGCTTATTTGTATATATAGCTTTGACATCAAGTTGACATGAGATTCTCTATTTTGTGAGAATAAGTTAGATTGGACTATAACTACATCACATTTAATTTTCATCATCGTTATATATATGTGATGCATATTATTGTTATGGATGTATGTTTAAATTGATCTCTAAACTTTATATGCTCTAATATTTTGAAAATAAATAAGCTCATTCATTTAATCATATGCTGAAACGATTACAAATAGGATCGATAGAACGGTATACCATTCCTTACAGTCAGACATGGAAACAACTTCCATAGCAATGCTACAAAGAACTTGAATTGCAGACTATCTCACAAATTTGAAGCTGAATTCGTTAGATGAATTTAACGCTTCTTTAATATCATTGAAGAATTGATCAAACGTAGTCAAGACTAACTTTGGTTGAAAAGTTTTGCGCATCACCTGAGTATATGTTTTCCATCTATCGTTCATTGACAATATATCCATCGAGCTAAGATGCAGATGCTCTTTTACATTGTCATCTTTGTCACCTAGGATAAAGTTCACATACGCCATTGAACAATTTATATGTTTCACACTTATGAAGAAAAGAACTCGCCAAAAGAAACGAGAGGAAAACAAACTCGTCACACAAATGAGAGAAAAACACAAAAAAAAAAAAAAACAAAACACAAAAGAAAAGAGAAGCAGCAGTACACCTCTTAAACTTTATTTTATGGATCCATGGGAATCAAACCACTTCTTTATCCAGATATGGCGGAATCCTTAAGCTTTAGATCTTTAGAACTACCGATCTATTGACAAGAAGAAAGCTAAGGGATGGGAGCGGCAGAAGCTGCTGTAGAGCCTGAAAAAATAGATCCTGAAGGCGAGGTGATGAAGCAGGAATGAGTCGATGGTCGTCAGGGTAAGTTTATAGGTTTTGGCATGATAGTTGGTGAGTAATTCAGATATAAAGGAAGTGGGGTTGGTTGGAGGCTATGCGACGTACGATGTGTGCAGCAACGACGAATGGTAATGGCACTACGCGTGTGGCGTACGATGGTCGGCGGAGCGACGAGTATCTGTAAAGTCTAGGAACGGGAATTTGAGTTTAGAAAAAGAAAGAGGTGGTGGTATTGAATTATACTTCCTTCAGGCATCCAGATGCCTAAAGAAAGTGGGGGACTTGTGATAGGGATGTGGGACCCTAGGGGTCCATTTTATTGGCAAAGTATTGGCCCAAGTAGGGGGTGAAGGAAGGAGGTTTGCCCAAGTCTTATTGGGCCAGGAAGAAAAACATGCATGGTGGCCCAAAAAGGCACAGAGGATGAGAGAGAAGAAGTTGCCAGGGAAAAACTGCCAGCGGCCGGCCACTAACCGGCGGGGTGGGGCAAGCGCGCCCAGTGAAGGTAGGTAGTACCTAAAGTAAAATGGAAGGAAAGTGCTACCAGCAAAGATCGAGCCTAAGACATCTAGCATAATAGGCGTGCCTCAACCTACCAATCCACTTTAACTCGTGTGTACCATAGCGCAACAGCTTATATTTGTTCCGATATTCTCGGGCAGGCAGCCTTGACCGCAGGCCGACGACTGGCCGGCGGCGTATCCCGCCGGCCACCTCAGGCCACGACTTGGCCAGCGGGGTAGTGCGCCTCTGGGCATGTCAATGGCGCCCCCCTTTTCCCGAGGGGGTGCGGTGCGGTGCGGTGCATTTTGGTGTTCGGAATGGTGCGGTATGTCGTGGTGGGGTAAGGTACGACAGGGGGGTTGGTAATCGACCATTCCGGCTAGCGCATGGCTGTTAATGTGAGCCCATCGGACTTCCCATGACATGGCATGACTAGCGGGGACCATGTAGCCCCCGGCTCGCCATCGGCTGGGGAGGTAGTGAGAGGTAGGGAGGGGTGGTAGAGAAGGTGGGAGAGAGGGTGGAGACGTGGGTGAAGACATGAGGCATGCATGGGACACGTGGATGATGGATACGGAAGGCTAGTTGATGTCGTACACTTGTCAACAATCCAGAAGGCCCTTCACACTATATAAGGCATCATGCCCTCCCTTCGATGGGTATGATCTGAGCACGACAGGCACCCTGGTCTAGTGGTCTTTGGTATATACTCCCAACCCAGTCACCTAGGTTTGATTCATGTCAGTAGCATAATTAGCTATAACCCATTCATTGGGTCGTGATCTTTGTATTTGGGCTGCTATTCTGGACCGGTATCTCGGGATTTGTACGTACTATTTTGGGCCTAGTGCCCCGGGTAATAAAGTTACTCTTTTCCTACCCACGTTCTGTACCTATATACCCGCTTTATGGTGGACCTGGTCCCAATAAAACCATCAGGTCTGTTTAAACATTCCCAGAAAAATTTGTATAATCTCGAATATATCATTGCTATATGCAAATATTAAAATAAAACATAACAAATAATGAGAGTTTAATAAATTACTTGTAAATTAATAAACCATATTGTGACACCCCGTAATCCAAATTCAATTAAGGGATTAATTAAGTAATTAATCCTAATCCAATTGGTAATTTAATTCCTTAAATTCCTGAAAATCAATAGTCAAGGACTAGTAATTGACTAGTCAACCCAAAGTCAAGTGTTGTACCTAAAGCTTTGTGAATAGTTCCCTTGTTCCCTTACACTTTTCATCTTAGTAAGGGTAAAGAAGACATTTTCCTTGTAATGGTATTCCAAGCTAACCTAGGAGACACATTTCATTTCTTCCCAAACACTTTCCAAATCAAAAGCTCTACCTTCTCTCTAAAAATCTAGCTAGCTTTCTCTCCAATCTAAGTTTAGGGTTATCAAGATCTCCAAAGTTTGTCTCCAAGATTCCACATTTCCTAATCTTGAGCATCTAGAAGGTAAGATCTATGTTCCTTTTGTGTTTTTAGTATTTTCTAAGGTACCTTTTTCTAAAGGTGAAATCTTTATGACCTTTTGGTGTGTTCTTGAAGTGGGTGTGGAAGGTGAACCTTGTTAGGAGCTTTGTGAAGTGTTTTAAGTGAAGGTTGAGTCTTCAAGAGGTAACCCATGCTCTACAAAATCTATTTTGTCTACCTATATGATGATTTATTGGATTCTACATGTGATTTTGCTATGATATGTGAGTGTTGATGCATTGTCTTGTGAAAATGCATATCTAGAGCTAGTTATTAGGGTTTTTGTATGCCATTGCTTGGCTATTCCTTTGATTCAAGTCATTTTGTTGTATTTGGTGAGATTTGACATGTTTTGGACTTGAATTTGAGCTTAGAGTTGAAAATCCCCGAAGGGATTAATTTTGGTACAGGTGTGTACCCGCGGGCGGAACGGCGGGTAGTGCACCACCCGCCGCCCCACCCGCGGGGTACATGGTGATGTGGGTGTGGTACCCGTGGGCGATACCACGGGTGGGGGTCCACCCGTGGCTCCACCCGCGGGGTACATGATGTGGTTGTATGGGGATTGCTCCCCGTGATTCTTTTGACTCGGTATTTGGTCTTTTGACTTCCCGATGTTCTTTTGTGGAACTATTTGAGCGTCTTCTTGATGTTTCGTATGTCTAGAACTATATGGTAGGATTCCATGTAGGTTTTGGTATCTTGAATCGTGCTAAGTGTTCAACCTTGTGATTCGTTAAACCGTGATAAGTCTTGTGTGTTATTCGGAACTATGTTTGGTTTACCCGTTTGATAAGCATGCTAATTCGATGTTTAAATGCTAGCATGTGTGTTGTTTGTCCCTTTCTATTGTGGATGATGACTTGTGTTAATCATCGTTGGAGTCGGATTATGATCAATTCCTTGATTGAGTATGGTTTCATATCTTCGTTGTGATCCGTTGATTGATTCATATTGTGGCGTGTGTGGCTGTACCTGGATTGCACGATTAATGGTATGGGACATTAGTCACCAAGATACGACAGTGGTCCTCGTGGTGGCCATGACGCGATTATGGAGTTTGTGACGTGAGTGATGAGTTCACGTATTTCTTGGGAGGCATGTGTTGCCATGTGTGTGATCGGTACCCTCGTGTACTATGAATCGGTGGTCTTGTTGGTGGTCGTTGGTGGATGGGGACGACGGTCCTCGGAGGGAAAATGTTGGACTTGGTTGTACAGGGGTCCTGGAGGTAATGGTTGGAACTAGACATAAGGTTGGGGGTAGCCATAAGGTTGGAACCGGGCATAAGGAAGGCATCTCAATTCGTGATGGGTGATGTCACGAAGGCATGTATTGCCATTGTTGTGTATTTCTCTAGTTGTGACATGTGTTGTCACAAAGGCATGTGTTGCCAATGTGTGTGTCCTTATTCTCTTGAATTATGCATGTCGGGTGATATTCTACTGTGTGATGGTAGAATACGCCTTGAGCCGTTCTTGGGTGTCGTTGTCACTTCTTGTTGTCTTGGGATGTGTTCCCTTATCTTTGTTGTGAGTGCATAGAGTCTTGTGTTTGACTTCTACTCTTGGCTTTGAACTTATATATACTATATCCCGTTTTGAAAATGATTTTGTATATATATCCTATCTATTTATGATATTTCACATGTATTGGTGGGTTACCAGCATCATTCGCTGACCGGGCGTCGTCCCATATATTTATGTGTTTCTTTCAGGTGCCGAGTAGAGGCGAGCGTGATCTAGAGACTGATAGAATAGATCCCTCAGTCCTTGTAGTATGTTTTGGCCTGTGTGCCCTTTGCTAGACTTTAGACTTGTTGTTGTTGACCTTGTTCCTTTATAGACAGATTATGTTGATGTTGTTTACGCCTGTGTGTTCACCGTTGTGTGGACGTGGCATAACACTCTACGTTTTCCATCTATTTAATAGTTAGACTTCCGTTGTGTATGCTTATTATGGTTAGATTATCTGCATGATTAAGTTTTAAATTGGTATGGAAATCGGGGGTATTACACATATGCCGAAAAATCATTAAGTCATCTACCTAAAAATTAAACTGAAGTTAATCAAGTTATTATTATTATTATTATTATTATTATTATTATTATTATTATTATTATTATCACGTGACATTAAAATCGAATTATATATAGACACACACAATCACGAGATTAAATGCGAAGGAGTTCTCAAGTAAAAAATGAGGTGAAATTTCAGCCATTGATCTAGCCAAAAGCAAGAGTTCAGAATGAAGAAATTTTTTTAAAAATACGATGTCATTATGGTAATTTTGCATAAGTTCAAAGTTTAAGGTGCGTAAGTTTATAGTTTAAGGTGTGTAAATTTATAGTTTAAGGTGTGTAAGTTTATAGTTTAAGGTGTGTAAGTTTATAGCTTAAGGTGCGTATGTTTAAAATTTAAGGTGTGTCAGCACAATTTCGTCGGAACCGTCTGTTTATTATTGTGAATAGCAAAATCTAAGTATTTCCACCCCAAATTAAGGAAAATCCCTTCTTTCCAAATGTTATAATTGTTATCTTCAAGTTTGAGAATTTCAATGTTCAGATCGATATGAGTAATGGGTTGAGATGCAGTAAAGATTCAAAAGACTTGAATTAGAATTTGACGCCTAAAATAAAATGAATTGCATACATTACTAAGGTAAATGATGCATATTAAAGACTCAAAAGTTGAAATTTTAAGATAAGTGTATATGGTTGGAAACATAGCGGAGTTGGAACATGAGTTGTTGAGTTGTAACACAACATAACATTCTAACACCGTTAGGAAATCTCCTTATCTGCTGGGCAATTCACTATTTCGATAAAAAGGTTAATTCACTATAAACAAGTTATAAAGTACAACATATTAGGATCAATATTACACAATAGACAAGATATCATATCCCTATATTGTAACCTACTTAAGTACTACTCCCTAGTGAATCAGTATGATATAATGGCCTTCATTGTACTTTTCCCTAAAGTCGTGACTACTCCAAGTATACTCCTAGAAAAGTTAGTTGGGACAAAGCCCCGTTAAAAATCAACTTCTTATATAGAGTAGGGATCCAAGGGAACTAATAGCACATTTGCCATAGAACTAGTTTGCTTTTCAAGAAACTCCCCCCACATCCGTTCATGCATTATCATATTGTAGCACAATTGTTTTAAAAAAAAAAATTATAGCATAATTGTTTCGTGTGATCCATCCAAAATTTTACAGGGCGTTTGGTTTAAGGGAATATATATTATATAACCAATGTTATCTTACATAACCTAATAAATTGAAAGGAATCACAATCCCTTCAAAATCCTATGCGGGGGGAATGTGACATTCATTGGGAATGTTAGATTCCCTAAGATAATATGAACCAAACATATAAATGTGAGCTTTGGAATGTCACATTCCCTTGGTTATGTTATATAACCTGATGAACCAAACGCCCCCTTAGGTGTCGTTTGGTTCACGGAATGTCAGATTACCTTAGGGAATGTTAGATTGCTGGGAATGTTAGATTATTGGGAATCTTAGATTCATGTGTTTGGTTAAAATTGGGGGTATGTAATATAATCATGTTTGGTTTAGTGTATTGGAAAATGCCTTCCCCCCAATAAAGGAGAAATCATTTTCCTCCAAAACGTATCTATTTTTTTTTGCCTAAAGCATCATTTTTCATTGAACTCATTTTCCCCCTCTTGCCAAACACTGAAAACTCGAAAAACATTTTTCGGATTTCCAAACGCACTCTAAGTTGGATAAAACCACTATAATTGAATACTAATTTGGATAAACTACTATACTCAATGACTAAATTAAATATTAATATTGATAAAATTACCAAAATATCTCGATAGAAGACTCAATTAATTAAAATTATCAAAATTGAGGACCTAATTAAACAAATTTTTTTTTTTTATTTAGGACTAAATAAAAAAAAAAACCACTATTAGACCAAAAGGAAAAACCCTTCTTCACAACCCATTCTTCTTCACAACCCATTCTGCCGTTTCCCTTCTAAGCACTGCCATTAGACTAAAGGGCAGCCAACGCTTACAACCGCCGCTGAGCCGCACTGCCCAGCCGCCGCACGCCGGTTACTGGTAACGCAACGCCTCTAAGCGCTTCCTGGAGCATCTCTCAGCGACGCCATTTGCAGCGCGCAGCGAATCACTTGGCGACGCCAGACGACGCTCCTTGCGGCGTCGATCGACACCAATTGCAGCCGACGACGGGCTCAACGCGACGCCGGCAGGAAACCTGACCAGGCAGAAAAACAGAGAACTCCGGCAGGAACCAAAATCCGCAAGGTATTTAAAAAAAAATAAATGTTTTTATTTTTTTAAAAAAATATTGAAATACTCCGAAATGTATATACGAAAATACCAAAATATATACATCTCAAATATTTATAATTTTTTTCGAAAATAAATATTTCAAATATATGTATAGTTCGAAAATTAAATATATACTAAATCTGCATACTCTCAAAAATTAATACGGTCAACATATACACGCATGTTCACAATGAATTTCATATACATAGTGAATTGCAAAAACTCATATGCAGTATACTAAATGTAGGCATATAGCAAATCTGTTACGGCAATCTATATAAATTCCATATACATTTTCAAGGGAAAATGGTTATTTTAGTCAATCAATTATACCCATATTGTAGACTCCGTCCATGAATTATTATGTATTTAATTAATCCGGGTAGGATAGTATGGAAAATAGTAAATAAACGAGATAAGGATATATGTCATGGGGACAATCTTGTACTCATAATAATGTTGTTAGATGATTATAAGGAATGTGTGTAATGCTATTACAATGAATGATTAGACAATGGAGATGAAGATGTATTTAAGAGCTCTTAACCGCCCCCCTTAAAAAGGAAGAATCAGTTGCAACAATCTTTGACTGTGCACGGATCCCTGCCTGGGCCAAAATCGAGACCCAAGGCCAAGCACAGCTTGGGGTCTAGGCCGGGCTCGGCCTAAGCGGCCTGGGTTGGGCAAGAGGCTCCACCCCAGGATTCCGGGTCAATCCGAATTCTTCTTGCTTCGCGCTCTTCCGGATCGGTTCAATATATCCATGACCAGTCCCCCACTCTTTGAGCTGCGAGAGGTCGTTAGTGATGGAGAGTAAACACAAGCAATGTTTTGACCCGCTCTGATCGAATTTAAAATAATATATTATTCTATTACAATCATAGTGGAATTTTATCGCAATATGACTTCTTCTCCTACAAGAATCCAAATTAATATTTGTAGAATCCTAATAGGTATTGTCCTCCATCCCTATAAATACCTTGAAAATCTAACAATCCCATCCATCATTCTCCCCACTTCCCCAAGTTTTGACTTTACTTGAAATTCAAATATGAAGACACCTTTTTTTCCCTTTCTTTCCCCCCTTTCTCCCATTCGAGTCTGGGTTAGTCTGCCCCTCTCCTCCTCTTGCCTGTACGATTTTTTGTTCTTAGCTCCGGCCGAACCTCCCCATTCTCCCCCACTTTTTCCTACATTTCTTTGCATGCACTTTGGCTTTGGTTCTTTAGAGGAACTTTTGGATTCGATAGACATCCTTGAACTACCTATGGATTTTGATGATGATTTTCCCCCCGGCCAACTTCAACACCCTTCTATTTGCCTTGGAATACCTGGTTCCGAAAACATAAAGCCACTCGGAGGACACCCTCTTTGAGCAAGGACGTTACTAATTTTTTGGGGTCGGGGAACACAAAAAATAATAAGTAAAGAAAGAATGTACCCAAGTCAACTTTATCAATCTCTCCAGTGTCATACTCAATTTCGCCATCAATTGAGTCTTCAGTTTCATTCATTAGCCAATCTTGAGCACACATGAGAGCTTGTACAACTCTAGGAGTTAAAGAACTCTTATAACTATCAAGAACTCGACCACTCGTGCTAAACGTTGATTGACTTGATTCAGAGGCAACAGTGGAGTCTGGATATCGCACAACGCCTTGCTTTGGAGGGGAAGGAAACTACCGCTGACTTTTTCTTTCTAATCCGCCATATGAAAGTAGAGCTCGGCTTTCAAGGATGGGAAGTCTATGAGCATTTGTTTTCCACCAATTAAGTATAGAGAAAATGGTCAAATAGGCCCCTGAACATTTCATGAAAAGTCAATTAGGCCCATAAACTTTTTAAATTGAACACATGAACTCATGATTTCGAGTCATCCGACCCCATTAGCAGGTTACCTCCCTAATAGGTGTCGGTAACTGCCCTCGTGGCTTGCCACATACGCTATGTTTTGATTATTTGGATTGCCACATAACCATAAATTAAAAAAAAAAAAAAAAAAAAAACTTCTAGACGCCCATGTTCTTCTTCTTCTTTATTTTGCTTCAAGCTCCATCATCTTCATCTTTATTTATTTCACTTATTATTATTATTATTATTATTATTATTATTATTATTATTAGTTGGGAGACGAATCATCGTGAGGATAAGGAAACTCCATCGTCATCATCGTGTTCATCCTCGTAGGCCGATGATGAACATCAATTTACTTCACTGCTTCTTCTTTCGTCTTTATTCATTACTTCTTCTACTTCTTTAACTGGATCTGGTCTTTTCAGTCTACAAGAGCGGCCTTCGATCTCGAATCCAAACCAACAATGGCGTCGCCATGGGCAATTTACTCACTACTGCTCCTTTCAACTCTCTTTCTCTTCGCACAATCGAGCAACAACACTAACCACGTATACTTGTTGTGTGCCGACACGAAGGTGCAGAGGTCTGATGGCTTCTTCTTCGGCATTCTGTTTGCGCCCAGGAACGCCACCTTTGCCAACAAAAACATTCACTTGACTGAAAACAATCGCTCCGCTACTGTCGCTCCGAACTCATATCTAAATAAGAACCACTCCATCCTCACCACATCAGTGTCGTCACTCAACCCCATTCACTTCACCAGCGTCGTCGCACCACTGTCTTCATTACATCCTGACCGTCGCTCCACCACCGTCGTCACTCCATACTCACCAGTTTTTGTCACACCCCCATCGCTCTGCCAAACTCATATTTCATAATAATAATAATAATAATAATAATAATAATAATAATAATAATAATAATAATAATAAGCAGTGAAATAAATAAAGATGAAGATGATGAAGCGGTGAAATGAATAAAGAAAAAGAAGACGAAGCAGAATAAAGAAAAGAAGGAGAACAAAGCGTTCGGAAGTTTTTTTTTTTTTTTTTTAATTTATGCTTATGTGGCAATCCAAATAATACAAACATAGCTTATGTGGCAAGCCACGAGGGCAGTTACCGACACCTACTAGAGAGGTAATCTGCTAATGGGGCTGGATGACTCGAAATCATGAGTTCAGGTGTTCAATTGCACTTTTAAAAAGTTCATGGGCCTAATTGACTTTTCACGAAATGCTCAGGGGCCTATTTGACCCTATTCTCTTTAAGTATATCAAACTCGTCATCTTCACCACCATTCTCAAGTTGTTCAGCAATGTACTTATCCAACTCTGTTATCTGGTTAGGACAACTAATTTCTTCCAAATACTTTACGAATTCCTTGTTAACAGCTTTTTGTTTCCCTTTCTTTGGAGGTTGAGTTATAGAAGGTATGTCCACACTCACAAGCTCACTTGATTGAAAAGTCTCATTTACTGAAGAAGAAGAAGATTCATGCAACCTCTTGTATTCATTAAACAAATCTGTCATCACTTCTCTAAGTTTTTTAGACAATATAGAGGCTTCATCATTTAGATACATCCTTTTGAAACAAAAATCAGTATACACATACTTTCTCCTAGGGTCAAGCACACTTTAGTGACTTTACACTTACGAGTAATGGCTATCAACTATGGGCTGGGCTGAATGGTTGATGCTTAATGCTAAATTGCTAATATATATATATATATATATATATATATATATATATATATATATATATATTTTGGTTATCGGTCACCGATCTATAACCGACCCCCAATAATCGTAAAATAATCGAAACACTGAAAAAAAAATTAGAATGATAACCGTGATCGACTGATAACTGATTTTTTCGGGCAGTTATCGGGCGGTTAATCGATATTTTGCTCACCCTTACCTCGTGCACGACCGGGCGTGAGCTCGTGATCGATGTGGATGTCGAGTCCTCGGTCGGGCCCTTGGCCGAGCTTTCGATTGAGCTCCTTGCCGAGCCCGCCAGTGCCCCACCTAGAGGTTTTATCCACCGCCTCTTCTTGTTCTATAAATTGCTTGAAAATGTTACGATGTGCTAACCTTGGTTTGCTTTGTTGCAGGAAGATCATTCGATATGATGTCACGCGGGGAGCGCCTTCGCCTTGCGTACGAGGCCAAGAGGCAAAAGACCACTGATGGTAGCCGGGTCCCTAAGGAGCCCCCTGCTGACTCGCCTGAGCCAGCCAGTGCCCCGCCTAGAGGTTTTATCCACCGCCTCTTCTTGTTCTATAAATTGCTTGAAAATGGTACCGTGTGTTACCCTTGGTTTGCTTTGTTGCAGGAAGATCATCCGATATGATGTCACGCGCGGAGCTCATTCGCCTTATGCACGAGCTCAAGAGGCAAAAGACCACTGATGGTAGCCGGGTCCCTAAGGAGCCCCCTGCTGACTCGGCTGAGCCCGCCAGTGCCCCACCTAGAGGTTTTATCCACCGCCTCTTCTTGTTCTATAAATTGCTTGAAAATGGTACCATGTGCTAACCTTGGTTTGCTTTGTTGCAGGAAGATCATCCGATATGATGTCACGCACGGAGCTCCTTCGCCTTATGCACGAGGCCAAGAGGCAAAAGACCACTGATGGTAGCCGGGTCCCCAAGGTCGAGCGACAGGTGCAACCAAGCCACACCGTTCCTTCCTCGCTGCCCCCCCGGGTTGTTACTCCTCAGGGTCCCAACCTCGCCCCCTCGCCTCCTACACGTCCACCTACATCTAGTGAGGGCGGAGGTACCCGAGACATGCTTCGGGAGGTTTACGCTTTACTTGAGGTATTTTCTCCTGTTCCCTTTAATTTTCCCAGCCAAGACAATGGGTGCTTATTGAACTTTCCTTGTTTGTTCTTAGGGCTCTATCACCACTATTGATGGTCGCCTCGAGGCAGCTACTAGGCGTGCTAAGGAGGCTCTCAAAGCCTTGGAGGCTGAAAAGAAAACCGCGGAGGTAGCACTCAAAGCCTTGGGGGCTGAGAAAAAGGCCGCGGAGGAAGCACGCAAGGCTCGCTGCGATGCCCAAGCAGAGTTGGAGGCTGAGAGGAAGAAGCATGCAGATGAGCTTGCGCGTTCCATCACTACCTACAAGGAGGAAGCACGCAAGGCTCGCCGCGATGCCCAAGCAGATTTGGAGGCCGAGAGGAAGAAGCATGCAGATGAGCTTGCGCGTTCCATCACTACCTACAAGGAATCCGAGGGTTTCACCTGGGATGCTGAGGCTTATGCCCAGGAACACCTCAATGGCCTGGTGGCCTCCTGGCTGGTCACTGATGCGGGTCAAGATATGTTGGCTGAGGATGGCTTGCTTAGCTTTCAGGTGGGCCGATATGAGATGCAGGGGGACATCTACTCCGTGCTTCGTCAGAGATATGGGGCCTTCAATCCCACGGCTTGGGGTTTGCCGGCCGAGTTAGAGGACCCGGAAGCCCGCAAGCGGAGCCCGAGCTCCTTATTGGAGGGGAACCAACTCAACACTGACCCCCTCCCCTTATCTTCTTTGGAGCGTATCAAGGAGGGGTTACCCATCCCCCATCCTGGCGAGGTTTCGCCATCCTTGGAGAATCTTCATTTTCCCGAGACCATGGGTGAGCCCGACGAGAGGACCATGGCTGCACCTGCTACCACCGAGCTCAACTCGGCCACCCTCGACCTCAACGAGTAAAGTCGGGTGGTTTTGTTTATCTTCTATCTTCTTTTGTCATGTACTTGAATTTATTTGATGTTGAGTGAAAGACTTAGCTTTTCTTGCCATTGCTTATACTTTGTCCTTCCTTAGCTTTTGCTTCACTATCTCCACGAATCTTCTGCATCCTTGATCGAGCTCCTGCTGGATGAGAGGGGGGCGGGGCCAAAATTGACCCCCCGCCTAGTTGGTCTTGGTCAAGCTTATAGCTCGGCTCGCCTAGGTCGAGCGCATGCTCGATCTGCCTTGCCGAGCCTTGGCCCGGCTGTCCTCGGAGAACCATAACTTGGTTCGCCGAGGCCGAGCCCCGGCTCGGTCTGCCTTGCTGAGCCCTAGCCCAATTGGCTTCGGCCTAACCATAGCAGGAGGTGAATCAGAGAGAGAGGCAGCCCTCGCTCCTGCGGACATGTTGCAGTGTACACATGTGTACTTTATATTTTACAGTGTACACACCTTTTCTTGAACAACAAGAGGCACTTTATATTTTACATATGAGTGTGTTTTAGGTTTAGTCGAGAGACTAGGTAGGCCTTGTGTTTTACGTCTTCCTAAGAAAATGCAGCTATAAGTTATTACCTGTTAGTTATTCGTTTAAGTAATTTGTTTTTTTCCACCATTTTGCGTCTTTTATTTCCTCCTATTTCAACCATACATGGTGTACTACAATTTGGCATACTGTTGGGGAAACAAAGATAACAAAAGATACTATTGTTATTATTATTCTTGCTTAGCCGTGAAAGGTTTTGATTGAGGCTTTTTCCTGTCCTGACTAGAGTTTAACTTCATTGTGTAGGTTTATGCACCGCTAACTGAGAAGGATTCAACATTTCATCGCTCTATGTTTGTCTTCATGTGTCCATTAATGTCTTGTAGATCACCATTGAATGCTAAGACCCTTGGCTTTCATTTTCAGGCTGTTCATTGGCTATCAGGACATCAGGTCATAAGAAGCATTGTTTCTCAAACATTTCACTGTATTGAATGAATCCAACTCTACTGGCACAGCTGCAAGGATGCTGAAAGGTAATCATTATAGATACCTACAATGGCAACTGGCAAGTTCAGAGTATAACATACTACATACTTTCTTTTGCATTATTGGACACTTGTTTCTTCATGTTAGTCTTGTAGAGTAGTGATAGGATTGTCTATAAATTTATGTGTGTTTGGAAACTCGAAAAATGATTTCTAAAAAACATTTTTCGAGTTTCCAGTGTTTGGATGTGCATGGAAAATCAAGTCAACGGAAATCATTTTTCGTTGACTAGGGAAAATATGGCTATTTTGTCGGAAGTCATTTTCCACAAACTAAAATTTGGCAAAAACATCGTTTCAGTGTCAAATAATCTTCCATTTTCTTTGTAGTTGGACTATGAGCCTGAGGTGAGACTGAAGCACAAGTAAACATACCAAATTACGAATATTCCATTTTCTTTGTGGTTGGATAATAGTTTATACCAAGAATACTGGAGTATAAGAAATTCTTGTTGATGTGTGCAGTGTCAAATAATCTTCCATTGATAGAGAAAGCTCTTTAGTGCAATTATAATGGTGTTGAGTTTATGCTTACACTCAAGTAAATTTAATTTGCAAACAGTTGTGAGTAAATCTTTGTGGCCAGAGTATGAGATCTCAAATGGGGAAAATGACAAAAATGGACAAAAAACAATGAGAGTTGACAAAAATAGGAAGGTTTTGAAAGTTGAACAAAAATAGGCAAAACTCGTTTGGCAAACAAGTTTCTTGTCAGAAAAATAATTATTTTTTTTTTTTTTGCCGTAGTCAACCAGACACGCAAGTCCCGGGTCCCGTGTCTCGTACTATACGAGACACGCAAATCCCATTTGCCTGTCTTATATATATATATATATAAAGAGGTTGTCGAAGGAGAGAAGAAGAAGAAGGCAGCCATGGCCGAGGCCTTCAACCTCTGTTTTTTTTTTTCACTTTTCCTTCATCGTCTCCAGATCTAGAGACAAAGAAGGGAAAGAGGACCCTTCTTCGTCTCTAGATTTGGAGACGAAGAAGGAGAGAAGAAGAAGGCAACCATGGCCGACGGCCATGGCTGTCTTCAAACTCTTTTTTTTTTTATAAAAAAAAAAATTACGGAGACACGCAAATGGGGTTTGCGTGTCTCTATAGTACGAGGCGTGTCTCGTATACTACGAGATACGTAAATCCCACTTGTGTGTCTCGTTGAGTGTTGACTACGGAAAAAAAATAATTTTAAAAATTATTTGTTCTGAAAAGAAACTCGTTTGCCAAGCGAGTTTTGCCTATTTTTGTCCAACTTTTAAAACCTCTCTATTTTTGTCAACTCTTTTTGTTTTTTGTCCATTTTTTTCATTTTCCCATCTCAAATGAGGATGAATGTGAGGAGGTATCTAATGATCATGCCCATTCCACACCCTTGGTTTCTGCAAGCCAAGCAAATATACAATTCGCTGTTGGAAAGCTTTGAGGTAGCCATTAGTATCCCATTGATGTTGAACTGACATTTTATAGAAGTACTCCCTCCGTCCTATTTTGTGTCTGGTTCGGTTAACGAGGCTTGATTGAAATTATTTTGAATTCAATTTTTCATAACATCAAGTTTAATATTAGTATATAAATTTATATATTTAGAAAGTATATTAAAAGTACTATAAAAAGAAAATAAGCAAAGATGAAAGAGAACATGACAGGTAAAATAAGATATTTTTGTGGTTACTTGGTCACAGGGGATGATGACAAGAAGAGTTGGGCTTCTTTCCAGGAGAGGATAATGTGTGCCCCTGACCAAGTATTGAGGTAAAGGACCTGTGTGTTTTTAGAATTTGTGTTTTGGAGGCACTAATGACTTGAAATCTTGATAAATATAGTATGTGTAAAATTTATAGTTGTCTTTTTCCCCAATTTTTTTCTTTAAGAAACTGCTTCTATCTATAACTAGTTTATTGTTGACACTTAATTGCCTTATAAATAGGTATTGTAGATACGCAAAACCTAAACCCCTGTGGCCCATGCCCAGTGGCCAGCCATCGAACAGGGCAAATTTTACCGTGGACTATGGTCTATGTAGCAGCGTGAATCGTAAAGTATGTATCATTTTAATTATATTTCAGTTTCATTTGACAATATTGTTATGTTTTTCAGTTTAATTTTTCCTCCACACTAGTTTCATTATAACAATACTAAAGTATCATTTGAATTCCACTATAGTTTCATTTGATAATATACATTATTGTTTAAGTTCTATTTTTTTGTTTCATTTTCCACACACACTAATTTAATTATAGTAATGTTAGATGTATTATTTTAATTGCACTTCAGGTCATTTGGCAATATATATTATTGTATGGCTCTGGTATTTAGTTTCATTTTCTACGCACATTAGTTCTATTATAGCAATATATTAAAGTATCATTTTAATTATATAACAGTTTCATTTGACAATAACGTGTTCTGTTTTTTAGTTTTATTTTCCACATACACTAATTTCATTATAGTAACACTAAAGTATCATTTTAATTCTATTACAGTTTCATTCGACGATCATGGTCTACACACTTGTGAAGGAAGCGTGGCTTAAAAGGAGGAATTTGCTTGGGTTCAGGCCAGGTTGCATCCCATTCAAATACTTAGACAAACAGAATCCATAGCATTGGCGTATGTATTGTTTGGGATGAAGCAGACTAGTACTTCTTTTATTGTGTGAGAATACAGGAAGATGAACATCATGTTTGTTTCACAGAATGGATTTTGAAAGAATAGAAATCTTGTTCCATAAGAAATGGTATCGAATAGAATAGGAATTTCATTACATTGTTCGGTTCGCTAAAGGATTAAATTTCAAGAATATAATTGTATTATATGAATAGTTTACTTCTTCGGTCTCATTTTGTTTGTCTGGTTTAGTTAACTAGGTTTGATTGATGTTATTTTTAATTTAATTTTTTATAATATTAAATTTAGTATTAGTATATAAAATTTATACATTTAAAAATTACATTAAAAGTATTATAAATATAAAAAATCAAATTTAAAATAATTAAAAATTACTAAAAGAAATTAAATGAAGAAATAGTTGATTTGACCAATGAATAGTAAATAAGACATGTAAAATGAGATAGATTGAGTATATATCAAATGGTATATATGTGTGTGCAAATAATCACAATAAGGAAATGCTAAATCTTTGTGCATTTGTCACTTGCAACAAAGTAACGGCAAATTATTGTATGGACAATGATTCACATATTGTTGTATAGATCATAAATGAAAAGTACATTTTTAATATACTAAAAGTACATTATTTGTGTACTAATTGCCGGTCAATTAATATACATGAAAATGTGAATGCAAATAATTATTTTTTGTGTGAAAGCTAAAATTTAATTTATATCTTTATCTATTGCACATTTATAATTAGCATTGGGAAACGAAAATAATTAATATTATCCATTTTAGGGGACTTGTTCCACAATGGCTGGCTGGCTGCAATACAACTTTAAACAATCGTTATGTTGTGAAACCATGCCCACCTTGCAAGGTGGGCACGGTTTCAAACGATGAAAACGAGCGTTATGTTGTGCATCCGTGTGCATCATGCATGGTGCACACGGATGTAAAATCGATGTTGTTTTGACATCAATTTAAAAAAAAAAAAAAAAAGAAATCATAACTTTATTACTATACATTCAGAATTGTATAACTACACATCCATAACTTCATAACTATACATCCAGAATTGCATAATTATACATCCATAACTTCATAACTATAAATCCAGAATTACATGCATGACTATACATCTATAACTTCATAACTATACATCCAGAATTGCATAAATACACATCCATAACTTCATAACTATAAATCCAGAATTGCATGCATGACTATACATCTATAACTTCATAACTATACATCCAGAATTGCATAACTACACATCCATAACTTCATAACTATAAATCCAGAATTGCATAACTATACATCCATAACTTCATAACTATAAATCCAGAATTGCATAACTATACATCCATAACTTCATAACTACACATCCATAACTTCATAACTATACATCCAGAATTGCATAACTACACATCCATAATTTCATAACTAAAAATCCAGAATGAATGAACTAAAAATCTAGAATGAATGAACAACATAATGCTGTTGCTGGAAATTGAAACTGATTTTTTTTTTTAAAGTGGACGCACATTTTTAGTCAAAACGACGTCGTTTTTGCATCCGTGTGCACCATGCATGGTGCACACGGATACACATCATAATTTGCCATGTTTTCATGTGGGTGAGTAACGGTGTCGTTAGTGACACCGTAATCTCCCATAATGTGAATATAGATTTATGCACTTGTGAATACAGAGTCTATATGGTAGATTCATAATTTTTATACTGTAGATTTATAATTTCTATACTGTAGGTTCATAAAATCTATACTGTAGATTCATAATTTCTAAACTGTATATTCATAATTTCTATACCGTAGATTCATAATTTAAATATAGTAGATTCATAATTTCTATACAATAGATTCATAATTTCTATACTGCAGATTCATAATATCTGTACTGTAGATTCATAATTTCTAAACTGTATAGTTATCAAATTATGAACATACAGTTCTGTGATTTGTGAATACAGAGTTCAACAATTGAGAATATGAACATCGAAAATTATGAACATATAGCTCTATAATTATGAACATATATTTATAAAATTATGAACATATAGCTCTATCACATGTTCACAAACCTAATATTGTAGATTCATAATTTAAATACAGTAGATTCATAATTTTTAAACTGAACCAACATGGTTGGCGTGGTGGTTCAGCACCCGTCCCTTAAGTATGAGGTTGGGGGTTCAATCTCCACCCATGTGAATGAAGCAAACCATTTGTCTAGTCCCATACCAAATGTTAGATATACAATAATTTAACTATATTGAATATTAATATACGAGAAACCTGACCTCGTATGATAGCGGAAGCGTAGCCGTGTTGATCTCCATCCATAGTTGATGTTTATGTTGTGTTGCCTCTTAACGGTAGACCGTTAGCCATGTTTTGCCTCAGACCTGACTCAGAACCCTAGATGGTGTATTGGGAGCAGTCTTCCCATCAATCCAGGATTATATTAGGCACAGAGTTTGGTGGACTAACAACTTCTAGTTATTCAGTCCAACCAGACCACTTAATAAGCCTAGTACACTTGCACCACTTAATTAAGGCCCTAATATATAATATATAATATATATTATTAGGGAAAATCTTACATTCTCCCACTTGGTGCAAGTACTAGCACAATCTTCATCAAAGAACAAAACACACGAATCATAGTGATATGTCCTCTATTTAATCAGAGTAGTATCCATTATGGTCACATGCATTTTAATTCTCCAACTTAGGTCCTTAATGAACAAACCCTATGTTTATTCTCGGTACCTTAAGGGATGTTTCTCAAAATACATTATGTGCACAACTGAAAGAGAAAACGCATCCAAATTGTACAAAAGAGTACACTGTATGATCTCTAAAACTTTATAAGCATGCCTTAAGTAGAGATCTCTTAATGTTAGCATAATGCTAACTATATTCCATGACTTCTTTATAAGTTAACTTTAAGTACTATCTCTAACAGCTAAGAGCTTGGAGTTGACACGTCTGTCACTCCCACTCATCAAAAATAGCCAAAAGATAGTCAAGTCACAAAAGCATTCCAATAACTTAGACAATAAACCAAAGGTCTAAGTCCATGAATTTGGAATCTTAAACATACACTATAACTTCTCAAATAACTTCAATGTCCACTTTAAATGAACTGAACATAATGAGTCTTACTTATATCTCTCACAAAATTGTTTTGAGCCTTACAACCGAAATGGTCCAAGATCAATTTTGAAGAAACTAAATACTCTATTAATCACTGAAGAATTTATTAAATGACAGTGCCCCACAAGTTCAATGCTTTTGTTCTAATAAATTCCTTAATATTGTTACAACATTTTCATAAATATGTTGTACAACCAAATGTTCAATAATTTGAACTTATGAATTTATATAAACAAATACAAAATTAATACTTGTGGAATCTTATGGACTTATTGTTTGACATACAATCAAATTTAGGATGTATGAAGCCATTTAAATCCATAAACTTTAGTGGAGTATCTTAATGATCTTTTTCTAAATGATCACTTCCACTGATTAAAACATTCTTCAACAAAATTAATAAAATGAACTTAATATATACAAACTCATAATTGATTTATTGACCAACTAACAAATGAAGACATAATCCCCACCATTAGTTGGACATACTAAATAATCAATTTTTGGTTCCAATTAAAGTCCAACGAAATAATGAAGATATATTTCCCCACCATAGTTGGACATACTAAAAAAAAAAACAAAATACATCTTTCAAAACCAAGATAGAATTTGGCTCAAAAGATACATTTTATCATTAATGGAATCCAAAAGATGTATGTCAAATCACGTAACTTACTACAGTTAGTCCGAAGAACTGAGCAAGATTCGTGGATCAATTAATAAAAGTGTCTAAATTTTGGGAAGTGACTGAAAACATGTTTTGCCAATGCAAACCATGAACCTTATAATTATAATTGAGCTAAATTTATAAATTCTAAGAAATTGTGATAAAATTATTATCTAATAGGGTTAAGGGATTTATTGACATAAAACTTGCTTATGGGCTAAAGTTTTAATTCTATTAAATCCAATTAAACCCTTATGATAATATTCTATCTCAATTGCTAAAGAGTCAGAAAAATCTAGTGACATAAAACTTGCCTGTGGGCTAAAGTTTTACTCAATTAGATCCTAACTGAAAAAGTTTATTTATGATGAAACAATTTATCAAATGAGTTGAAGAATCAAATGATATAAAACTTGCCTGTAGACTAAAGTTCTATTCAATAAGATTCATTACAACCCTTATGATAAAAACTTAATAAATCATGTTCCTTTTCTTAATCCCTGTGGGCAAATTAAGAAATATGATCTAAAGTTTACATCATAAAATTAAACTTCATGATAGAATTGGAAATTATTTACAAATAACCATAAAGTAAATAAATTGATTTATTTCTATCGTCACTGATAAAACTACTAAACTACATTTCGATATATAATTGCCTGTGGGCTAAATTATGACCGTAGTCCAGTATTTCATCCTGATTAATTATACAAATATAGCGAAATTGTCTGTGGACTAAATTTCATCATATTACATACAATTAATCACAAATGATATGTCCAAAACTTTATGTGATCAAAATAAACCGCTTAATATATAATTTTAACAGATTAAGGATGTTGTGGCTACTCCCAAACTAAATTAAAATTATAAGATCACTAGACAATTATCAAATTCTTGCCTAAACTTTATGTGATTAAAACTTAATAATCTTAGGTAGCTGAATATGCTGTAGCTATTCCTTAATTAACCAAGATTGAAAACTTAAGAGACTTCAGTAAATTAAAGATGCTTTGGCTATTCTTTAATGAACCGAAATCAAATCACATTGGCAAGGAATACTTAAAATTTTGAAAACAGATTATACCAGATTGTGATGGGAAAATCTAAATATACTCCAAGGAAAGGTGGTTAGAGACTAAGTCTTACTGAAAACCAATTCCTTAAATAGAGTATCAATCTAAGGAGACTAGTGGCACAAGATGTTCTTAAGTCATGGCCATTAAAACTAGTATGTCTCCCCGATTCATATATACTTAATGTATAACTGTTTGGGGGTATGAACCTAAAACTGTAGGGTATACACCAGTAAACTGTATGGTTCACCTATGATTAAAGCTTAAATGATGAACTAAAAATAGCGGACTAAACGTGCTTAAATTCAGGCACTACCGCGACTAAAGTTTATGCGTAAGTCCAACTTAAATAGGAACTAATATAATTCCATCTCAAAGTATGCATTGCTAAAGGCATAATAAAATTGCATAATTTAAAACATAATATTATGCGGTGGACAAATATGCATACAATTAAGCATTAAACTCATATATTCCAAATAAATTGCATAACTTAAAGCAATTTACAATATGAGATTTTAAAGTATAAACTTAATATTCAAACACCGATGAGTCCAAACCAAAAGAGACCCAACATTTTGAATAATAATGTACTGAATATATACTTTAATTTTTTTTTTAAACTATAAGCCATGGGAAAAATGTTTTAATGCATAAAGATAAAATTTATGAGAAATAACTGAATTTACAAATTCAAACAATATCAAACTAAAATGATATGCTATCATTTGTAAATTAAAATCTCATAAACCCTAATTACATAATTAAACTTAATATTATGCACTTAATGCGATCGAATGCATCAAACAATCTAAAGAGTATGAACCAACTAAAGAGTATGAATTTAAACCAAAATATTCATTTATTCATACTTAACCAAACATGGATGTAAACACAAAATAGTAAACTTTGTATATATTCACAAAATTCCGTGTACAGCGTATGTATAATTCAATGCAGGTACAAAATCTCTGTCTAGTCCTCTGATTCTTCACTGACGTTATCTATTGAAGTGCCTCCGGGATTCAAATAGCGTAGCCTCCGGGATTTAATTGGCGTAGCTTCCGGAATTTAATTGGCGTGACTTCCAACAACGAGCGTCAAGAATCTAGAAGTAATCAATCCTGCAAAATTTCAAAAACACATGCAATGGACTCAAGCCGCCTGAAGATCCTCAAATGCATTCAAAAGGCTTCAAGATCTTCGAGACAATCAATTCTGCGGAGCTCCAAAGTACCTGCAAAATATTCAAAAGATGCCTCCACGCCTTCAAGCGTCCTTCAAATACTCTCAACTCCTTAAGTCTTCAAGTTGTTCAATGCCCTCGAGCTCTAAGCCTTTGAGTTCTTCAAGCCTTTTTGTCTCTTTTGGAATGAAAATGAAGGCTCTATTTATAGCTGAAGCCTAACCAACATTCCTCAACAAACTCCCCACTTTAATTAATTAATTAATTAATTAATTAATTAGGAAAATGAACCTTGTTCAAGATCAAGTCCAGGTTCATTATTGTATAATTAAATTCAAATTCAAATTCAAATTAAATTATAATTACTTAATTCAAATATAATAAAATTGATATTATATTTAAATTATAACTATAATTCAAATTCAAATATGAAATGGGCTCGAACCAATTAATTCAATGGCCCAAATCAAATCTAATTGGGCTAATCAAATTAAATTAATTTCTATGACCCAATTAATTAAATTGGCCCAATCGTCAATCTCAACATTGGCCCAATAACACTTTAGTCGGTCCATTTATCGGGTTCAAATTTTCAGTGTCTACAATGGACAATCAAAGCTAAAATCATAATTCCAAGAACTAAATGAATTATGGAATTAATGGCAAAAGTCAATTGCCTAGCAAATATGTTTTTCCAAGATTACTAAATTGATTCAAAATCACTCTCCATAACCCAGTTGATAATATTATTATTATTAATGGCAAAATTGCAAATAACCAAAATAGCAATAAATAGCCATAATAATATTATCACATTATGTAGGAGACTAAATATGGAAAAACAATGGTTAAAACCGCTAACATTTATAATCGTTTACGGATAAAATTTTGAAAACTTAATAAAATTCGAAGTCCGAAAAAAAAAATTACTGTCCAGAAAATTATTTTCTGAACTGGAGTATTGTCACACAAATTTATTTGGAAACAGTTCAAGGCACACAACTGAATACCATAACAATATCAATGTTATCACTAATTAATTATTAATAGCAATAAATAACATTATAATCACTATTAACATTAATAATAATGACAAACTAAAGTATGATAATGCATCTTTAAATGTTTCCATTTTTCTAAAAAATAAAATATGTGACTAGTCCAAATTAGCGGTTAAGGTAATAACCAAATTACCATTATATAGACAATATACCAATTATATTGCTTTTGCCATAAAATTAAAGGCTTAATATTATTATTAAGGCCCTGAAAAACTATTGATAGATTAAAAATTTAATCAACTTAAACAATAGTTATAGTTCTTAATGGCCAAAATAACAATTAGATCTTTAATGTCTCTAAACAGGCCAAAACAATAATTATAGCACTTAATCACTCAAATTAGGCACATAAACCTCAATGACCCAAGTGAATTATAACATGAATAAAAAATGATCTAAGTACTGAAATAGACCCAAAACTTAATATTATTACCAACGATGAATACCAAAAATGGTAGTTAGTAATAATTAAAACTTAATAAATCAAATCTCGACAAATAAAAACTATTTTGATTATAATTACTTTAAAATATCATACTATCCAAGTGGATAATATTAATATTAATAATAATAAGAAGAAACGTAAATAAAATAAACATTTGATAATCCAGTCAACAAAAACCTAGAGTTAATTTTTAAAAAATGTTAATTAATTAATTAATTAATTAATTTTTTTTTTTTTTGAGTTCAATGACTTATTTGCTCTTTTTTTTTTCCGGGTTCAATGGTTTATTTGAGGATTATTTAAGTTCGATGGCTTAATTGATGTTTCTCAAATAGTTCAGTGGCTTATTTATACTTTTAAATTAAGTGAATAGAAAAACTCACAATCACAACCTGAGTGTGCCTTATATAAATCTCGAATATTAAAAGTTCACATATATTATAAATTTATAATCAAAAATTAAAATTATATATATTTCATTTAAACCATATATATTCAAAAAAATATTTTAAATATCGAGCATTAAAATTTTGAACATGTATTATTTTTAATAAGGTTATAGTTCACAAAGTTAAATTTGGAAGATGAATACTGGTAATAACTTTTATAAATTGAAAACAACCAATAAAATAATAAAGAATAAAATTGAAATAAACTGGCACAAAGTCCTACTACCAGTGCAACCCGATCTGATCAAATGCCTTTCTGAAGAAGAAAAACATTTTCATTTTTCAGTGAAAATGGCGGCGATTTACAGTCTCTACATCATCAACAAATCAGGAGGCCTTATTTTCTACAAGGTTTATATTTTTGACAAATTTTGTTCTGCTTAGCTTTGAGCTTTCATTTTTGTAAAACATATTCTGGAAAAAGAAATTGAAATGTTGATCTGAAAACCCTTAGGATTATGGATCAGCTGGAAGAATGGACACCAACGATAGCTTGAGGTTGGCGAGTCTGTGGCATTCGATGCACGCCATTTCTCAGCAACTTTCTCCAATCTTGGGTTGCGCGGGCATTGAACTCCTTCAAGCCGATACCTTTGATCTCCACTGCTTCCAATCTCTCACTGGTATTTTCTTTTCCATCACTTTTTCTAGAAAACTAATAATGGGTTTTCATTTTCTGTGTGTTTTGTTGCACTTGTGCCCTTCTTTAATTTGAGTGAAATTTTAAAGGGAATGGTGTATAATTTGATTTAGGCTTCAAGAGTGCCAATAGTATATAGAAAAAGAAATTATAGATAAATCTAGATATACATGGATGAATCTGTTTTGATTTCTTGATGTTGATTTATATTGCTGAAAACCAAAAAACAAAGAAAAACAATTACACACACATATTGTGGTTAAAGTCAACCATAAGGGAATTAGATAGTGTGGAAGTATGCTCAGTGTGGGAAGGGACTTTTTGTTCATACCAATAATTCTTATCTTTATGGTTGCTTACTTGAAATCATCAATGATCCCATGTTAGTAAAGGTACTTGACGGGGAGAAGAAAATAATTCAATTCTTTAAAGAAATAATTTTGACCTTTATGCTACTCAGGCTTGGTATCTGTGGCAGATACACCGATACAGGACATTTCTGACATAGCTATGGCCAATTTATAGTACATTTTCAGTGTATATACCTAGTATATCTTCAACATAGGTAAGCTGGGTAAAATGAATGGCATGGGTACCATAGTTTTACCTTGATCTGTTTGTACAATGCACTAATTAGAGTCCGCTATACCAAAAATAAAAATAATATTGCACTAATTAGAGGGTCTTGCTTGTTAGTAAGTTAGAGTCTTACCTCTAAATTGGAACTTTGTCTGCAGATACATTAATCTTAGCACTCAAAAATGATTCATTTTGTTCTTCACTGAAGTGCTAACATGCTAACCATGTTTGATGATGATTTATTAGTATCAAAACAAGGACATATTGGCCTTGTTTGGTAAAATGGCTGTAGCTGATTGTGTTAATTAGAGGGTGTAAATAGTTGGTAACATTAGCTGATTGTAAAAAAGTGTTTGGTAAATTAGCTGTTAGCTGATAGCTGTTTGGTATAATTTCTTTTCTCAAAAAGCTAATTGAAAAAGTTGCTTGGAGTAGCTTTTTGAATTTTAGCCTTTTGGAGTTGTAGAAAGCTAATTAATCAAACATTTATATTGATATTTTAACTAAATCAAACAATTAATAGTGGTCAAATAAGCCAAAATTGGCCTATAGGCCAATTTTTTTACCAAACAGGGCCAATCATTGTCATTTTGAGGAAGATTTTTATTGAATTTATATCTTAAGGCACGAAGACAAAAGATAATTAGGACAAGAGGATCCATGTCCCGAATGTAACTTTTTAAAAGCATTATCTTTGTTGCTGTAAGCAACAAGAAAATAAGAATTCAGTCACTTTCTTGTGCTTCAATACTGAAGCAGTAAGATAAAAAAGCAAGAAAAAATGTGCACTTTCAATAAAAATGCAATTATTGCTTAATGAAGAATAAGAATAAATTGCTTAACTTTCTAATCTTCTCCCATTTGTATGGTCACTTAAAGCTATGAGTGACAATAGAAGCTCAGTTCCAGGTACAAAATTCTTTGCTCTCTTTCTACTCTTCCGCAATCTCTCTCTCTCTTTTCCTTCTATTCTTTACTTTGTTTCTTCCTTTCTGATTTCATTCTAGGTACGGTTGTCTGGTTTCTATTCCTAAAAATGTTTGGGCCATAGTGATTTTCTTTTTTATTTTCCTGTTTCTCTTTCTGATTCTTGGGGAAAAAGAGAACAATTTTTTAATTATCAATTTTTTTTTTTGGTTGTAATGGTTCTCGTTTGGGTTATACTGATTCTTCCATTTCCCCCTATAACTCCTAGTTCTCTGACCTTATAAATTTGTGATTGTGTTAAATAGATTGAATTATTGAAGTCAACAATAAAATAATGTCAGATAATCAGATTGTCAGGCTGTCAGCATCACCATCTAAGAGTTATCTTCCAGGATGAATTATATTCATGTAACGAGAGTGTAAGTGTGTAACCAATCAATGCAATTGTAAGCCTAAAACTATCAAGTATAATCATAAGAGTTGCACTATCAAACATTTACATATGATTGTAAATTATATATACTATTCTAGTGGTTGAAAATTGATTTTGTGTTGAATCAGTTTATGTGCTTTAGAGCAATCGAGCTCCCATTTCTTTATTTTACTTTTCGCCCTCAACAAGTTTAGTTTGTTGGCTAATCCATTATACATATGCAATTGTCACCAAGATGATCTCCTTATTTTTTTTATTAGGGTCATAGATTGTTACATCCATTGTTCCATCGATGCACCCACATTTTCTTTTCAAGAGTGATGGTTATTCTAGTTCTACATAATCTCTTGGTTCCTTGCTGCATTACCACTTTGATCCTTTATATTTTCAAATTTTTATGGTTTTTAACCTTCATAGACATAGATATTGTTTGATTGTTAACCATAATAAATTTTGGCCAAGAGAGAGTAGTGAATCTTACTCAGGTTTTGAGTTGTGTGAAGTGGAAGTTTGCCTAGGGCCAAAGGTGCATGAGTAAATTCTATGCTGGTTTGTCATTCTAATATGCTGAGTATATACCCCTGAAAAATATGGATATATGAAAGAAAAACAAGATATTTTCTTATTAGGTGAACTATAAACCTGCAACCTATATTTCGACTTTCGAGTACCTTTTCTAGAAAATTTCTGCAAATTTCATATATTTCTCAAATGATATCTCAACATAGATGTTTACTCTCCACTGTTTTTGTTAGACCAACAACAGTTTCATTTTTATGTATGTGTATATATATGTAATATATATTTTTATATAATTAATTAATTATTTATTTATTTATTTATTTTGATTTAAATTCCTATTTACTACTACTAAGCAAAGAGTCCCTTTTTACTTAAACCCATTACCAATACCAAGTATTTGATTCCCATTACCATTCTGATTCCAATGTTTGAACCAAACACACCCTTTTAGTATGCTCTCAGTAAAGTACTTTAACTGCTTTGTGCTTTGGTTGAACCGTCTGCTTGCTATTTGCTAAAGTTGAATGACCCAGAACTACGATGTTTCTAGTGCTTGCCGTTGAATGATCCTGAATGTTTTGACAAGTGCTTGGCATACATAATGGATCAAGTTATTTATACTGTAGGGACAAAATTTTTTGTGGTTTGTGAGCCTGGAACACTGCACATGGAACCTCTCTTGAAATATATCTACGAACTGTACACCGATTACGTTTTGAAGAACCCTTTCTATGAAATGGAGATGCCAATTCGATGTGAGCTCTTCGACATCAGCTTGGGGCAGGCAGTACAGAAGGATCGCGTTGCATTGTTAGGAAGATAGATTTTCTGTGCATCATATGTGGTTGACAAGTTGGGTCTTCTTTCTTTTACTATGTTTTGGAGATTAGATTGTTTACTGTGTGTGAATTATCAACAAGTTTACTTGTACTTCCATAGTCATTTGATACTGTTTTCTTTATATTGGAGAATATCATGGCTCTTGTGATTTAATTTGTTTTCACAATTAGTGTTGATCAAAGTAATTGTTTGATCATGGCTCCATGAAGACTTGTTGCTGTGTTACTCTTCTGCTATAATAGTTTCCAAATTTTACCATCAAAGGGACAACTTGTACTTGTAGGCTTCTACCAAGCCCTACAATTACTGTTCGAATGTGTGTATTAGGTAAATTTTGTCTTGTGGCTTAGTATTCTTACAAGAATGTAAATTCACTTAGATTGATTAGCTGACTCAAATTAAAAAGGTTATTAGGCCATTCTCACTAAAAGTCAAACTTGTAGTTACTGGTTACCAAATCAACAACAGGACCAACTTAGATAGTGTTGTCCTAGAAAAAAATGCATAAATTTCATCTTTATTCATAACTATATAAAACTTATACTATACCATATTAGCCAAATTATACTTTGGATCAGGGTCTACCATGTGTCTGCAGTTAACATATTAGACAATTTATATCGTTAACCAGGGTCCACATAACATTATAAACCTTAAAATTGAAACGACGTTGTTTTGATATTTAAGTTTTAACAGATTCTGCAGTTTTTTTATTTTTCATGTTTCTACACAAATACTAATATATCCTAGGTACAGAACTCATATTCATAAGGTACAGAATTTCATAACACAAGCCACAAAAATTCACAACACAAGACACATATTATATATTTACTTGTTTTTAAATACGAAGTATGATTTAGGTAGAGACTTTATGTTCTATAGACACATAATTTTACACACAATATGTTGTGTTACACAACTACTAATCTATTTCAGGTAGTACTCTTAAAGTATAAAATTTCATAATACAAGACACAAAAACTCACAGCACAAGACACATACATGTACATGTTATATATTTTGTTTCAAGTACAGAATTCATACAGTACAGAATTTCATAACACAAGATACAAATATATGCTTTACAGTAGGAAAAAAAACTTGTAATATGAACTGAACAACAAACAGTTGCAGTGACAATTTGAATTCAAAACCGACGTCGTACGTGACATGTGTCAAATCCTTGACATTTGGTTAAGGATGGATATGTCTCTTTGATTTTTTTCCACTCAACCACGGGTCCACGACAAATTATTGTGTGGACCATTAATATCAGGTTCATTTTTTATATATTAAAAGTATATTATTTATATATTGAAAGTACATTATTTGATAGTTATATAAAATAATGTATTTTCAATACTCAAATAATATACTTTAAAAAAATGTACTTTACGTACACAAATAATGTACTTTTAGTATATTAAAAAAATATATATATTTTTTGGCAAGCACCTTGTGCTCAGATGACACCTCTGTGATTCCCCTTGAGAGAAGGTTACATGATCAAAATTCGGTGGTGGAGTATTGATCCTTTGACATGTATTAGATAGAGAAAATATATAGAACAAATACTACCTTGTAATAAAGTCAATAGTACTAAAAAAAAATGTAGTTTTTATTTATGATTTGTGTGGACCATGGTTCATGTAATAATGATTGCTCAACCACCAATCATTATTGTGTGGACCATATTTTGTCTATTGTAAAATAATGTACATTCAGTACAAAAATAATGTATATTGTATTCAGGGGATGTACATTATTTTTGTTCTGAATATACATTATATTATATAATGTACATTCAGTACAAAAATAATGTACATTTAATATATTAAAAACGTACTTTTTGTTATGGTTTACATAACATTGTGTGGACCATAATTTGCCCTCAACTACCCCCTAGGTTGTTAATGGCCCAATATAATATTAGAATAATTAAAATATTGAAACCAACTTGGCCCAATCACAACGCAACCCGACTGGTCCGTCTCGATGCAAAGAGGAGATCAGGAGAGATCGACAGAAGGATCTGATCGTATACTCCTCGAGTAAAGTAGGAAAAAAGAGATCGAGAAGAAGAAGAAGAAGAAGAAAACATGTTGCAGTGCATTTTCCTTCTTTCTGATTCTGGGTATGCTATGCATTTTCTTATTTCTCTTTCGTCTTTATAGTTTGTTTACTTCTCTTGAACTTGGAAATTCCAATTTTGAAATGAGACTTAGTGGTTCAGACGAAATGGGTTTTTTTTTTTTTTTTTTTTTTTTTTTTTTTTTAAGTATTAAATCTATAATCTATTTATATAGGAAGATTGAATTATAGTTTGTGAAGACAATAAACCGGTAAATTTTGATTGCAGGGAGGTAATGCTAGAGAAACAGCTCACTGGGCACCGTGTCGACAGGTCAATATGTGATTGGTTCTGGGAACAATCAATCTCTCAAGGTGATTCTTTCAAGGTAGCCTTTCTGAGTTCATTTTGTGCGTTCAAGTTTCTGTACGACTTGCAGTGTTAGATGAAAATGTCTTGAATTCTCTGTTCATATTTTCAATAAATGTCTCCCTTATACTTGTGTTGAATGTTTAGCATTTGCCTGTGATTGCTTCACCCACACATTACCTTTTCCAAGTTGTACGTGAGGGGATCACATTCCTAGCTTGCACACAAGTTGAAATGCCTCCTCTAATGGCAATTGAGGTAAGCATTTATACACTCATGTTCTTGTCTGGGTTTTTATTATTGTATTAACTAGATGATATCATTTTTCGTTGAGTTAGGGAAATTGAAGTGAATCTTTTTTATATTCTTCATATCCCTAAACTATGTTCAGTAAGATGTCTAATAAAAATTTCTGATCTCATGATTTATTGAGCTGTGTTTTCCTAGTCAAAACTTGAACTAGGTTGTTATGTGAAATAAGACTTGGACAATGGACTTCCTCTGTAGTTAACATATTACATATTACAATATCTTATTTTAACTGAGCGAATTTCTAATTTCTTACAACTTAAATAATTGTGTGAACAGCTTAATTTAGGTATTATTGATCAGAAGCATTTACTAGATAATTTTAGTGCAGGAGTAATTTTTACTCTCAATCAAATACATCATTTTACATGCTGTGTACTGTAATCCATTCTTAAAACAAGTATGCTGCTCCAGCCCTGCATATGTGCTTAAATGGATGTGATGGTAGAGAGCGACTGTTTTAGCTTTTAGGTTATTTTCATCATATAAAGTTTTTCTCACTTCCACCTCTCCCTAAGATGATCATATACTTCATAGCCAAGGGTGAAATTCAAGTATTTCATGAGGGAGGGTAACTGGCTAATGGCTATGCTGACCTCCCATAAAATACAACTATCTTTATCTTCTATAAATATAAATTACTGAAAATTTCAATATTTGTTGAACTTCCTCCCCCAAAGTCAAAAGTGTTAGTCTTCCATTAAGGCAAGGTTTTAAAAGGCGAAGGCGTGCCTTGAGGCGTTTTGTAATGTTGACACGAGGCATATCGAGGCGTAACCCTCAATTTTTATGCAATATATATTAATAAGCTGTAAACATTATTCATAAAAGTCACCAAAATCTAAGATTAAAGTTTCATTAGCTAAAAGTCTCAAAGGAGAAACACACCACAAAACATTAAGCATAATATAAGTCTAAAGCAAACAAACACATAACAATTCAAGATTAAAGTTATAAACAAACAAACACATCATATCACAATGAAACTTCATCTGAAGAATCATTGTAGTCTATAGCCTCATCATCCTCATTTCCACCATCATTATTATATCTTCCCATTCTTCTTCATCTTCATTAATTAGTCTCAATTTTCCCTTTCCCTTACTTGACCCTTTTGCACTAGCCTTCTTGCTTGAGGATTCAGTTGGTTGAGTTTGAGTTGCTTCACTGCTTGTGATGGCTCCCCCTCAAAAACGTCAACATCAAGGTCATCTACTCTTATATGGGGAGCATCTTCATCATTTTCACCCACAAGCCATTCATCATCCAATGGCAACTCATCAGTCAACAAGCTATCTTCATCATTTCCTAAGGATTTCAACTTCAAGTGCCTACCCTTCAACTTTTTGTTGTATAAAATATAAACCAAATCATTCATCCTTGTAGTGGTCTAGCGGTTTCTTTTTTTGGTGTGTACTTGATTGAATGCACTCCAATTGCGCTCGCATCTAGATGAAGAAGAAGTGAGGCCTAGCACTTTAATTGCAAACTTTTGAAGCTCGGAAGTGTCATCTCCATATTGAGTCCACCATTCAACTAAAAAAAATAGTAATATTAAGTATTTGAATCTACTATATTAAGTAACACTCATATTTAACTATTTAAGTAAGTATTTAAACTTTAATATACCAGGAGTTCGTTTGTGGACTGTGTTCTTTGCTTGAACCAACCCAAAAAATCCTTCTCGGTTGTGGGAAGCACTACATTGTAGGTCGGCTTTCTCCATTTCATCTCTATTGGGTATGAGCTTGTCTAAACAATGGAATAACCCAAGATCGATCTCTGGATGTGTAGAAAAATCAGGAGAATAATGGCAACGGGGATTTAGATAGTAGGCAGCTGCATGCAAATGTCGGTACATCTGAAAATCCCATTTTTCATCAATGATATCCCATATCTCCTTGTAATCTTTTTCTTTTCCACCAAAGTTCTTTGCTATCTTTTCTTTGGCTTCATCCATAGCATTATAAGGAAAACCCATAGTAGGATCTTTTTCTCCATCAACTAGCCTCAACACTTCAACCAAAGATCTTGTGGTCTTGATAGCATAAATCAAACTTGGCCAAAAGTTGTTATCCTTCAGAATTATTTTTCTAACTTCTTTTCCATCAACTTTGCTTGCATAATTACTCTTTGTTCACTTTTCAGAAGTGAACATAGCTTCCAATGGTTGCCTCAACTGATAAATGCTTTGCAACGTCAAATATGCAGTGGCAAATCTTCGACCTAAAAGAATTTAATTTTGGACAAAAATCCTAAGTGGATTTGAGATAATTCTTTAACTCATTTTTTTATACACTTCTCAATATGCAAGCATACAAGCAAAAGTCCAAAATTCATTCTTGAAACCTAACGAAAATAAGAATAATAAAGATATGCGAATAGCAAACAAAATAAAGTATACAACCATAGAAAGTTACTTAATTCTTTTCCCTTCTAGTTTTAGCATTTTGTTTACATAATTTCTCAACTTGGAAAAATCATTGTCATACTCAACCTTGAAATATCTTTCACGTACCTACCCGCATATATAAAAATTATAGGCCTCCATGATAGTTGCTCCTCGTAGTACGCTTGCCTTGAACCATCTCACGCATTCTTCAAGGCTTCTTTGACGTTGCAAAACATTTGCCTCCACTGCATATTTGACGTGGCAAAACATTTATCAGTTGAGGCAACCATTGGAAGCTATGTTCACTTCTGAAAAGTGGACAAAGAGTAATTATGCAAGCAAAGCTGATGGAAAAGAAGTTAGAAAAATAATTCTGTGAAGGATAACAACTTTTGGCCAAGTTTGATTTATGCTATCAAGACCACAAGACCTTTGGTTGAAGTGTTGAGGCTAGTTGATGGAGAAAAAGAGCCTACTATGGGTTTTCTTTATAATGCTATGGATGAAGCCAAAGAAAAGATAGCAAAGAACTTTGGTGGAAAAGAAAAAGATTACAAGGAGATATGAGATATCATTGATGAAAAATGGGATTTTCAGATGCACCGACATTTGCATGCAGCTGCCTACCATCTAAATCCCCATTGCCATTATTCTCCTGATTTTTCTACACATCCAGAGATCAAGCTTGGGTTATTCCATTGTTTAGACAAGCTCATACCCAATAGAGATGAAATGGAGAAAGCCGACCTACAATGTAGTGCTTTCCATATCCGAAAAGGATTTTTTTGGGTTGGTTCAAGCTAAGAACACAGTCCACAAACGAACTCCTAGTAAGTTAAAGTTTAAATCCTTACTTAAATAGTTAAATATGAGTGTTAATTATAGTAGATTCAAATACTTAATATTACTATTTTTTTAGTTGAATGGTGGACTCAATATGGAGATAACACTCTCGAGCTTCGAAAGTTTGCAGTTAGTGTGCTAGGCCTCACTTGTTCTTCATCTGGATGCGAGCGCAATTGGAGTGTATTCAATCAAGAACAAACCGCTTGACCACTACAAGGATGAATGCTTTGGTTTATATTTTATACAACAAGAAGTTGAAGGATAGGCACTTGAAGTTGAAATCCTTAGAAATGATGAAGATAGCTTGTTGATTGATGAATGGATCGTGGGTGAAAATGATGAAGATGCTCCCCATATAAGTGTAGATGACCTTAATGTTGATGTTTTTGAGGGGGAGCCATCACAAGCAACTCAACCAACTGAATCCTCAAGCAAGAAGGCTAGTGCAAAAGGGGAGTAAGGGAAAGGGAAAATTGAGACTAAATAATGAAGATGAAGAAGAATGGGAAGATATTGATAATGATGGGGGAAATGAGGATGATGAGGCTATAGACTACAATGATTCTTCAGATGAAGTTTCATTGTGATTTAAGATGTGTTTGTTTGTTTATAAACTTTAATCTTGTATTGCTATGTGTTTGTTTGCTTTAGACTTATATTATGCATTTATGCTTGATGTTTTGCGGTGTGTTTCCTTGAGACTTTTAGCTAATGAAACTTTAATCTTAGATTTTGGTAAATTTTATGAATAATGTTTACTACTTATTTATATATTTTGTATAAAATTGAGGCTTACACCTCGCGTCAACATTACAAAACGCCCCAAGGCACGCCTTCGCTTTTTAAAACCTTGAGGAAGTTGTCCTAATATAATAAAAATAAGTTTTAATTTGATTTTTGACTACTTCTTTTTTAGTTCCTTTGCAGAGTAGCTGATATCTTTTCTGATTACCTTGGTGGGTTAAATGAAGATTTGGTGAAAGATAACTTTGTTATTGCATATGAGGTATTTGTAGTCCACATATCTTTGTTTGAAGTGATTTCTGTTTCTGCATATATTTCATTTCAATTGTGCTTCCTGTGATTAATTTCCTACTTAATTTTTATATGTTCCTGTATGTCTCCCTGGGATTGATTCTATAATATTCCAATAGTTAATGTTCTCTGAAAGAATATTTTCAACTTTGGTTGGGGTGCTGGGAGTTGGCTAGTCTGGTTCCTAATAAACCAGTGTGAAATTGTGAATAATTTCTATTGGTAACCTGCACCACATTCTGGTGTTCCTTTTATTTTATTTTATACTGTTTTATGAAAATATTGATTCTGTAACCTGAAAGATTTTTATTCTAGCTGTACACAGCTACTTTTTTTTCTTTTAATTGATATTGTTTTGTCACTTTTGTGAAAATAATCAAAAATCAAAATATTGATTCTGTTCTCTGAAAGATTGTTAATTTGTTTTTATTCTTTCTCCTTGGGGGAAATCCATATAAACAGTGCAAACACATGTTTATTATGCCTGCATGTATTTTATATTTTTATATTTCAACTCCTTGTTCCTATATATTTGAAAAAGCTCTTTCTGTAAAATGCTGGGTGCCATTAGTGTGTGTACTGTCACTTGCAGCTTTTGGATGAGATGATAGACAATGGTTTTCCTCTTACAACAGAACCTAATATACTGAGGGAGATGATAGCTCCTCCAAATATTGTTAGCAAAATGTTGAGTGTTGTAACTGGAAGCAGTTCCAATGTCAGCAACACTCTTCCTGGTGCAACAGCAACCTGCGTTCCTTGGAGGAAAACAGACTTGAAACATACAAGCAATGAAGTTTATGTTAACCTCGTTGAAGAGATGGATGCTATTATTAACAAGTAGGTGGACATACCTAATTGAAATTTGAAACTCTGCCCTTATCTCCCAATTTGAACATTCAGAAAAAATTATAAACTAGACCTCTTGTGCCTTGATGTCCATATTACATGGTATGACTTAGCTGTATCTTAAACTTTTTATTGTTCCTATTTTGCTTTTCTTGTTACGACTTAACATCAACCAGTATACACAAGCATAATATGATAGGACAAGAAGAAATGATACTAACTGAAGAAACCAAAGCTACAGCCTAAAACTGAATATGTCAAAGGACAAGAGAGAGCTATGTCAAATGATACACGCTCATGAATGCATACTTAACATACTTCCACCATACACTCTCATCTTTGTTATGTCATTTGGGAAGAACACTTCCACCCTTCAAATAATTTTCCACACATAGGAAATAAATATTCAAGGTAATTGCAGACACATGTGATGGTAGCAGGAGGGAGTTTTATTTTTGAGGAATTTTACATGGCTTCTGGCTTGTTCTTACATATAAGACTTGAATATTTATTTTTTGGTTGGGGTGGGAGTGGTGTTGTATAAACCTGTGTTTGTTATGTCTCAATATTCGGCTTGCCTCTCTGATTACCTCCTATTTTGATTCTTGGGCATCCGTGGTATGGGATTATCTCTAGTTATGATTTTTTCAAGGCTTTGTAATCTAATTCTGAATCTTTTTGATGATATGAATGTGATTGGTCAACTTTTATGGTTTTTCCAACTCAGGGAAGGAACTCTTGTAAAATGTGAGGTTTATGGTGAAATTGAAGTTAACTCTCAACTTTCTGGTATTCCTGATCTTACTCTTTCATTTGCAAATCCATCCATCTTGAACGATGTGCAATTCCATCCTTGTGTTCGTCTACGACCATGGGAATCAAACCAAATTTTGTCGTTTGTTCCTCCTGATGGACATTTCAAGCTAACAAGCTACAGGTTTGTACTGTACTACTGTTATTGGAATGTCTTTCATTCATTATATGAAAAATGCATCAAGGAGCTTCTGATTGCTGTTCTGAACTAGTGCCTTCCTATATTAAGTTCACTTTTCTTTTACCTTTAACTTTCCCAAAAAAAAAAAAAACTAACTAAATTCATTTGCAGAGTCAAGAAGTTGAAAAGTACTCCCTTATATGTGAAGCCACAGCTCAGTTCAGACTCTGGAACATGCCGAATTAGTTTGCTAGTTGGAATTAAAAATGATCCAGGAAAGCCAATAGATGAAGTGAGTGTGCAATTTCAGCTCCCTAATTGTGTTTTATCTGCAGATCTTTCTTCAAATCTTGGAACAGTTAACATCCTCACCGATAAGGTACTCACTAGCTCTTATGATCTTAATTCTAGCAAACTATGTGAATTGTGAATTCTTGTGGTCTGGGGAATGCCATTCAATGAATTAACCTTGACAAAATGTTGTGTCATTACTTCTTGTTAATCACTAAAAGTACACCAGAATGTGTCTGGGCACTGCATTTTGTTTTTCACCTTCATTTCCCAAATATCGCAGAACAAATCATATAACCCATTTTTAGCAGTTTGGGACTGATACATCAGGTTTTATGCGCAGACCTGCTGTTGGTCTATCGGAAGGATCCCAAAAGATAAATCCCCGTCATTGTCTGGGACCTTAGTGCTCGAGTCTGGTCTAAAGCGGCTTCATGTATTCCCTACTTTTCGCTTGGGATTCAAAATAATGGGTACTGCTCTTTCTGGCCTTAAAATAGACAAACTGGATATCGGGAATCTCCCTACACGCCCTTACAAAGGTTTCCGGGCTCTAACCCGAGCAGGAGAGTATCAAGTAAGATCTTAATCGAACGAAGCTTTGAAGATTCATTTCAAATTTCTCGCTATTTCTCTCAGCCTGACTACTGTAATACCATTTGTGTTTTCATACTTTGCTTCTGGTGGAGTAAACATCTTTCAATGGTGTTTTATAATCACTTCCTGTAAATTTTCTGTAAGGACGAGATACAATTTTAAATCAGACATGTAAGTAAGCTTTTGTAAACTTGATTTTGGTAACGCGGATGGTTTCAACTTTCAGTGTTTTCATCATAATAATCTACTCAAAAAAAAAAAAAAACACTACTCTAAATGGGTGCATTTTTATTTCAAACTAGCACATTCCAAATTTTACATTCTAATAACCACATTGCCTAAGAATTTGGAGGGAATGAGAATTTTTTTAATGTTAAAAAACAAATTATAAAAGTATTTGTAGGAACCTCACATTATTTTTCAGAGTTTTGCATTTTCAAGGGGTTATGAGAATATCAATCAAACTTTTGGTGCGATTGGATTCCCTACAAGATTAATGCTAAAAAGTAAGAATGTTGTGCACCACACCTTAACACAAGAATACACAAAATCTCTCACAACATTAAGAACCCTAATTTGGGTTTTATCCCCTTTATATAATAGTATTAAATATTAAATAGAGTTAATTCCACCAGAGGTCTCTTGTCTTTGGTGACAATTCCAAATTTAGTCACAAACTATTGTTTTTGCCATTTTACATCATAGACTATTGTTTTTGGACACTTTTAGTCCTTATGATTTTTTCTATTTTTAGTAAGGGCATTTATGTCTCTTCATATTTTATTTTATTTTGGTTATTTTTCCGGTTTCAACCAGTTTAATTGGTTTAGAACTTTAGGTAACCTCTGATTTTTAGTAACCATATTTTTCAACCAATTTTTAGTAAACTCCTAAACCAATTAAACTGGTTGAAACCTGAAAAATAATAATAGAAAAATATGAAGAGACAAAAATGCCCTTACTAAAAATAGAAAATATCATGAGAAGGACTAAAAGTGTCCAAAAAACGATAGTCTGGGATGTAAAATGACAAAAATGATAGTCTGGGACTAAATTTGAAATTACCACCAAAGACAAGGGACCTCTGGTGAAATTAACTCTATTAAATATGCATTAGAATCTCATATCATCCTTAACTCAAAATCTTAAATAAAACAACTCACCCATGATTTTAGCAAATAAAACAAAGATATAAAAGAAAGACATAATTATGAAAGCAATAAAGATTAAAGTAACAACTTATTTTCACACCTCCTTTTGGTAATGAATCTTCAAATCATAGGAATATACACTTTTATATGAAAGACAATGTGTTTTCTTGGTCTAGGGTTCGAGACCTCACTCTACCCTCTACTCTATACGGCTACTGTTCACTCTAACTTTTTGAACTCTCTTTTTAGAATTGAAAATTATAGATTTAATCGCACGGGCAACAGCACTGGCGTGCCGTAGGCCGTCTGTGGAAACGCTCGCATCATGGGTGTGTCGATGCCCATGACTGGTGAAGGCCTTCCTCATGGGCATGCCGACGCCTGTGACTGATGCCATAAATGCGCCAAGTCAATGTTTCGCTCAATTCCACGCCATTTCTTCTCGGGTTGCTTCAAGGCAACCTTTTGCTTCTTTCCTATGCACTTCTCAGCTCCTTAATTAGTCAAATTTGCTAAAAAAAAAATGCTTCCTTTTTCCTTTATTGTGCAAATGGATTAAACTATAAGCAAATACACATTAATTAGTCTAATTTTCCAATTTAACACACATAATATGTACAAAATAGAATAAAATATAGTACTCCGTAAAAAATAAGTGATCACTCACCACCCCTAAAAATTATATATATACCATTACCATCACTCCCTTCCACCATGTCATGAATATGTATGATAATATGATACCGCTTTTGTTGAGTATTTTCTACTTTTAAAATATTATGGAGTATTTATTATAATATAGTAACTTTAAACTTTTTTTAAAAAGTCAAATAAGTCTTAAATTTTATGTAAAAAAAATAATTAGATCCTTGAATTTTAAAAAATTATAATTAAACTAAATGGCGACTTACCTAATTGTAATCATTAAAAATGCTGATGTAATAAATAAATATATTTTTTTTTTAAAAAAAACATAGATGGCTCTCTGTTGCTAGCCATTCTATTTTTAATTTATTTTTTAATTATTTCTTTTAAAAAAATTCAATTACTGATTATTATCTTGAATTTTACCAACAATTGACCTAATTGCATCAATTTAGCAAGTTATCTATTCAACTGAATCAAATTGGGGAATTAATGTGTACAATTGTCACTTTTTAAAATTCAAGGCTTTAATTACTTTTTTCATATAAAGAACCTAAAGGAGGAGAATATTGAGACAATGAAAATGAGGGATCGAATCTTGAGAACAAAATCACCACCTTCTTGGCTCTTGGAAATCACTGCAACCCGAATTCTTTGCTCACATCAATAACTCAGGTTGCACTAGCCATAGAATATAATTCTCATAGACAACTCAATTGGTTCATGTGTAATAGATTATGGACAATGATACATGATTCATACCTGACAATCGTAGTGTGAAAGTTACACCCAATGTAATGAACTTTTTACGAGCGCTTATCAGACACTAAATTCTCTCACTTAATGGGTCATTGAGTTATCGTAATTTATCCGTCTATTTTTATGTTTGAACGAGGTATGATACTTTATGGATGAAAAAATTTCAGTTTTAGAGAGAAAAAACTTGTATACTAGGCTTGACGGTTGAACTACTACTAGCCTTGATAGGCTAAACTTCTAATCTAATCAGACACTTTTTGCTTATATTAGCACATTTTATATTCTTCTTCATAGGAACTATTTGAAATATTATTTCTCAAAATACAATAATTTCAAACTTATTATTTAAAGTAAGACATCTTTTGCCTATATTATCATGTTTTATATATGACGCATGAAAACTTCAAAACTCTACATTGAAAACTTCTAAGAAGCATTTTAGGTCCTTTTCTTAACATGACCGATTTTTAGATTTTTGTGATCCGATTCTTATAAATAAATGAAATTCTATCAAAAGGGATTAGGGCAAAGGACAGGATTCTAGAAACACATTTTTACCATTCCTTCATGGAGTCTTTTAAGACTAATTACAATTTTATTTTATTTTAATGTCTTAAGTAGCTAGGTAAAAATTAAATATTGCGCCCTCTAAAATTTGAGGCCCTGTGCTGTCGCACAACTTGCACAACTCAAAATCCGACCCTGTTTCCTAAGAACATCCTCATCAGCCAATGTTTTTTCACAATTTTTGAATTACAACTAGAAAAGAGAGAGGCGGCAAAAAAAAATGAAGAAAAAAGAAAATAAAAACACAGACAACATATAAAAAAAAAAAAAAACTGAAAAAAGCTACAAACGCGCCAATAGGCACGTGCTATGCACGCGTTTACTGGGCGTACTTCTTGCGCTCCACATGTAAATTTCCTTTGTTGTTTTCCCTTTTCTTTCACATGGAGGGACCTATAAAAAAATCAATAATAGCAGGAGAAAAAAAATCAACCAAAAAATAATCACCACATTTGTTAAAAACCAAACATCTAATTTTGTACTATTCTAAACACTATGTAAATACCCCTATTGCGAATGCCCTAATTAAAAAAGTTCAAGGGTGTGTTTCAAAACAAAACATGATTCTAATTGTTTATTTATTTATTTATAATATGGAACTTATTCTATAATTAATATTTGAAATTAATTATGATTACCAAATAATCCTTTCAAAATAAATTGTTAATAAATTTATAGTAATATTTTTAATTTTTATATATTTTAAAAAGTAATTGTAATCATACTAAAAACCTCTTACATTTTAAATAGAGAAAAAAAAATCCGTAGAGAATTTTGAAAAGTTCAGGGAGAATTTTGAAAAGTTTAGGGTTTGAGGGTTGGATTTTATCTATTTACTAGTTTTTTTACGCGCTTTGTGCGAATGGGATAATGCCCAATGATTATTTTTAAATAACTATTTTAAAGTATATCAATGTAATATTATATAGGAGATGTTTATGCATAGGTAAATAAATGTTGAATTTGTTTATTTAAATCGGTAATTTAAAGTATATAAATTGAAAATAATATATGAGAGATTGATTATAATTGTCACTAAAATAAATGTTTGCAATTTTGTAATAACTCTAGTCTAAATACTTAGTTTTAAAGTGATAGTCTAAATAAATACTATTTTTAGTTTAAATTTCTCTAATTCTTCATAATTCTCTTTTGGGTAGCATTGTCATTGTTTTCATCTTCAGTGGGCGAGGCTGGCTGCCTACGAGCCCCGAGGAACTTCCAAGAACGCTAAGTCAACCAAAACAAGTTAATGTGGAAATATGATTGTTGTGCTCTTCCCCTGATCATCCCCTTGCTATGTGTTAATGTGTATCGGTTGTTGTTGATATTGAGTGGTGGTCACTACTGTTGTTGTGCACGTTGTTGATTGGTGATTGTTGATGATCATTGATTGATTATGATTGATTGTCCATGATGAGAAAAGATGAGATATGATTGGTGGAAAAGAAAATGTTGGTGGTTGGCACAACGAGTGTCCGGTCATTGTACTGAAGGTACAGGCCTAGCGGTTATATGCTATAGGCACAAACCCATCTTAGACTATCTTGCTAAAGGCATGGGTCAGGTTATAAGTGTTGCGATGCCATGTCAGGGCTATATGCACTGAACATGCTCTTTCTTTTTTATTTTTTTGTTGGTAGTGTGTCATGTGCCATTAGGTTACTAGTGGCAGCATAGAAGGATTCATCATGCAATGAGATTATAGTGTAGGAAGCTTTAGATTTGCATTGTTGCGTATATGACTGAGATTTTAGTTGTAATATGGACAATGATGTAAGAACAATTTTATCTGATAAAAAAATAATAGTATAAAATTTGTAAAGTAATGTACAATTGTACCATTATAAAAAAAAATACAAAAAATATTAATACTATAATGACCTAAATCATTCTAATAATGCAAAAGCATAATTGAAATATTAAGTTTGTTCTAAATAATCAAAAGAAGATTAATTAAACGTTTTTTAAAAAAAAAAACTTAACCTAAATTTATTATTTTTTTTAAATCAAGAAAATCAAATGATTTTTAAAGTTCCCTATTTATAATTTTTGATGCTCAACTTTGAATGTTATGTATTTAGTCGGGCTAATTACTTTATCAAAGTTTATGTTTAA